TCTGGTTTGGTTGCCATGGTGATGTCCTTGTTGCAGGAGAGCTGCCTTCCTTTTCCTTTCTCCCTCTCTCTTAATTTTTGCCCTCCAAGCACCTGCATGTACACCTACATGCACCTACATGCACACCTACATGAACCTACATGTACACCTACATGCACCTACATGTACACCTACATGCACCTACATGTACACCTACATGAACCTACATGTACACCTCCAAGCACCTGCATGTACACCTACATGCACCTACATGCACACCTACATGAACCTACATGTACACCTACATGCACCTACATGCACACCTACATGAACCTACATGTACACCTACATGCACCTACATGCACACCTACATGCACCTACATGTACACCCACATGCACCTACATGTACACCTACATGCACCTACATGTACACCTACATGCACCTACATGTACACCCACATGCACCTACATGTACACCTACATGCACCTACATGCACCTACATGCACTTACATGTACACCTACATGCACCTACATGTACACCTACATGTACCTACATGTACACCCACATGCACCTACATGCACCTACATGAACCTACATGTACACCTACATGCACCTACATGCACACCTACATGCACCTACATGTACACCCACATGCACCTACATGTACCTTATAGTGTAAGGGAAGTGCTTCAAATTAAGTTAAACATAATTTCCTTAGCCACACTGTAATTTCAATGAAAGAGGTCTCTTCTGTCATGTGAATTGGGGGCATAACTTTCTATTGCATAACTGCTGAAATATGGTTTAGGAACTTTTTCCCTATTCTTTCATTGAGAAGGTAAGGCTTACAGTACTTTTCCATGCAGTTTATTTTATTTTATTTTAGTTCTATCTTTAAACAAGAAAAGGAATTTTTTGAAGATAGGACACTGGAACCCATTTGTACCTTTCTTTTGTCAGATTAAGTAATAAAATCATGTGACTTCTGAGATTGGAATTCCACTCTTGTCTTGATAATATGGAATAGAGTCTAAAAAATCTCAGAATAGTGTGGAACTCCCAATTTCACTCAAGAATAAAGTCTTTGGAAGTGGAATCATCAGGGTTGTAGCCAAGGCTCAACATTCAAAAATAAAATTGTCAAAATACATGGAGACTCAATCAAAATGTCAGTTATACATATCCCATGGGTCAAAATGGGTCTAGGGTCAAGATACTCCAAACACAGTTGAATCAATTTTTAGCTCTCCTTTGTTTAACATAAGTGTTGCAGCTTAAAATGATTCCAGCTCAAAATAATTTCAGAGTGCTTAAAAAATAATGCAGTTGTCTTTTTTCAAGGAGTACATTACTATATGTCAACCTTAAAGAAATCAACTCAAATAAGTTTGAAATCATTTTGAACTTGAAATTCATTTTACTATACCATACTTTTCCATAATCTGAAAATAAAGGAAAATGAATATAGTTTGAAACCATCCAAACTTAAAAATTCCCCTTCAACAGTAAAATATAAAATGCAGACTGACATATATAGAAGGTGAATCATACAGTAACATGATGATACTATAACTGCAGTAAAGGTTCCAAAATTACCATCACTTCCTCTGCTTCTTTTATCAGACTTGCAGTTCTTTCCTCTAATTCAGCATTGAGTCGCCTTTATGTCAAAACATAGCAAGTAAGCATAAATTCACAAACATACAGAAGTTTGTGTGGATAATTAATTTTTTTCCTCTGCATCTACCAACCCCATAACTCTCAGGATCTCATTAGTAATTCTCCTTACTATTGGCCATAGAATTCTTTTGATGAGAGTTTGGAGATGTAAGGAGAAAATCTGCTTTGGTCACTCATGAGAATTAAAGGGTTGAAACTGAGGCTACCTAATTTCCAGTAATCAGAGAAAGATTGTCAAGAAAGTTTCCAATAAAGTACAACAATAAAACCCTTGCTCATACCTCAATAATATAAATGTATCTACCAAAAATTCCCACCTCACTGTCTATCCAGCCAAATTTTTATATTAAAATATTACAATTAGATTTACATTCTAAATTTCATTTAAAATCAAAGCAGATGACCACGACTTAATTTTGGAAAGAAATTGTTTATGTCTAATCTTCTAATCTGTAAATTGTATCTCAAACGTTTGAGTTGGGGATATAGGTATTTCTTTCGCCTAACCCTCCATCCTAGGTTCTTTCAGGAATAGGATCAAAACGATGGGGGACACGACCGTCGTGTATCTTATCGTGTATTCTGAAAGGAACAGCGACAGATAGGACTACTCAATGTAAACAGAGTGCTTTTAAGTTGCTGTCATTTATGTTTGTGTGCCTCGCAGGGTCAAAAAAGTAGTTGGGCACTGCTATTACTTAAGATAGACGCCTTATACTAACATATACTCCTCTTCCTTGCTCAGAAGGCCCTGTGCTATATTCTTTGTCTTTCCAGAGGGTGGCTTTTCCATACTTGACGATCTTGGGAAACTTCCAGAAAATTTTCGACCTCCATTTGAAGAAGCTGAGGAAGATCGCTTTGCCGCCGAACTTGGACGTGACTGTAAAAAGGAAATAAAAAATAGTTACACCGACTAATCTTCCTCTGTCTTGGAAAAACAAAATCATTCCAAATGATAATTTCATCACTCACCATGATAAAATTCGTGATTTACTTCTGGTTGATTTGAAAGGTAATTTGGTACCCAGTGGCTTCTCGGTTTTCATTCCGGCGCCATTTTGAAAGCCCATACTTCCTGGGAACCAACGAAGTGATACGAAACATGGTAATTTAGCGTCATCAGCTGAGTTAAAGACGTAAATTTGGCCACCTAACGTTTCGAGCTTCAATCGTTGTGACGAAGCGCTAACACTCGAAACGTCAGCCTTTAAACTCTTAACGGTCGCCAATTTACGTTTCAACTCAGTTGATAACACTAAATTACCCTGTTATACTCTCCTACAGACGCAGCACCACAGTTTCTTAAGAAACTTACCCCCTTGATACGAAACATGGACGATGATACCAATGATATAGCTGACACGGGGTCAAAGTCAACCATTTCTGTAGATTTTCGAGATAACTCTAAACCAGACGGTCTTGCCTTTATTACTTGCTCTGAAGCTTATTCAGAGTCGTTACTGAGACGGTTATGCCTCCCTAGGGGGCGGGGAATCTAACCCAAACTTAAAGATGCATATCGGGGAACACGAAGACGAGCTAATCGAAAATTTTTCTTGCAATCGCCTGGAAAACCGTAACTATTCGACGATTCGCATTCTCGGGTCAGTTGGGAGAGGTGAAGGCGACAATAATCTTGCCTTTCTCCAGATTGTAAACAAATCTACACAGGATAAGGGAAAGCACCCAATATCGGAGTGTGTCATCGATCCTCTGAGACAGGCGAATGTTGGAAACATTTCGCAATAAGGTAAAGCTACTACAACAGACGAGGTTACATATGAGTGGGTGGCGATTACCTTTCAAGAGTACGCTAAAGAGAAAGACGAGGACGATGCAAGATTTGATGTAGTTCACTTTTTTCATAGTCTCTACTATGTTGATCTCGAGACTACGTTGAAGCATTAATTGTTAAGAGAAAGAACTTAAAGCGTATTGAATAATATTATGTGTAATTCAATGGGAAGAGAATGCCTTTATGAAATATGGGAGAAGAGCATTCACCCAAAGTCTGGTTTTCAATCCTGGTGCGTACCTCAGCGATGAGCAGGTAAGAGACATCGCTGAGAAAAACGGATGGAAATACGTGGAGTATCCAGGTGAGGTCAAAACATGCGACATCACGAGCATCTTTAACTCATCATCTCTAGGTTCCGCGATTTTTTCTCGCAATGGCTTTATATCAGGAAAACTGCAAACGAAGATAATCTACAGAAAATTCTCGACTTCTGGAAAGATAAGTGAGCTGTAAAAGGCTGGTCAAGAGGGCCTCATCATTTTCAAAGGAATATGAATGATGTGAACTGCTATTTTAGGGGATAGGCTCTGGAACAAGACACTGCTGTGATCTGCTGTCCTTGAAATGAGCTCACACTCCTAAGAGACCTCTCTTGTTCATAATGGAGAACAAAGATCGATCTTTAGCGAGCTCTAGCGGACGATTTAATAAGCATTATTTAGTTAATACTCTCTAAGTTTAGTTCTATGATGACAAGTTTTCGTTTGTTTAAGTTTCTCGTGAGAATTTCTCTTGCAACTTAGTAAAGAAAGGTATGCAGGGGGGAAGAAAGCATTGCGAAACCACTTATTTTGCATATTTGTGATAAAGTGTGCGTTTGCATCAATTGATAATGGATTGTTCTCGAGGGTATTACCTCATGGGATCATTTACTACGGTGAATAGTTTAAACGTAGGTGTAATAATTGATCTTGTAGTTTGATCGTCCGAATGTCAGTAATCTTGAACACGAGTCACAAGTACTATTTACTGATCATGACTTTCGCTCAGTATCAGTGTCAGTCGTTAGTACCGACAGTCAGTGTTTTCCCGGTCTACTATTGTACATTTTTATATCATTATATCAGACTACACGAACAACCGATCAAATACAGAAAATCACATGTAGATTGGAGAAGTACCTATATAAATCTGTGGAAGCGTTTTTTCCCTTTCGTATCTGGTGCAACGATGTTTCACGTACCGGAAGAATATCGATTTACATTTTAAGGTGCTCTCATTTTAGCACCAACACAAACAGATATTCCGAATTACCTAGGTAAAAAATTTAAGACCGTTCAAAAATCTTCAGCTGTATCATTTTTTACCTCGACTGCACGCACAATTTCGGCGATGGCTAAGTTTTCATTGGCCACTTTTCTAGATTCTTATGAAAACGGTCATCGGGTAAAAAAAGAGGTCGGAAAAAATAATTGAAACTCCACACTTTTCACTCGTAAATTGCTTTTTATTTCCCCTCAAACCACCTTAAATTAACACTTTAAGAACGCATTTTCTGATGGATCCAGTTTATGTCCAGTTTATCTATCCGCATGTTCTCATCCACCTAACCCAGTGTGCTGTTTGATCCACGCTCGGTACTGCGTCACTCGAGCAAACACAGTAAAAAGCTGTTTAGCATCGCATCTGGAGGAACCCCAGCTTACTGCACCATGTAAAGTGTATGTCTTCCCGTCCGCATTCAAGCACACATACGGTCCTCCGCTGTCACCATGGCAACCACTTAAAATGGTATTGTCCACGCCCGCGCACAACATTTGCGGAGTTAACGATATTGAGACTACAAAAAATGAAAATATCCCTAGATAAGCACGAGTAATCCAAAACAACACAATTTTTATCCATTGTCAAAGATAATACAAAACTTCTTTGGATTTTATTAACACCGTGAAAAATCTTTTTGTGACTGATGTTACTCGAATTCAATATGTTCTTGCTGGAGTCAAACGGCATTCGACTTAGTCAATTAAAGGGTTCATTAACAAATAGTGGGTTACAAGGTTTGATACACAAGTATGGTTAGTTCGAAGCATCAATTGATGCACGCAGGAGTAGTTTAACAGGCATTTTCAAAGTGAAACCTAAGTAGAAGAATCAAATTCTATGAAAGCATCGAAGTTCAAACCCTCAACTGACTTAGTGATCCGTCACTGAAGTACATTGTTATCTAGATCGGTTAAAAAGATTCGGATTTCGGGCCCACCTAAGATGGCATTAGCCACGGCATTTTCATGGCGATTAGTTCAGATCATTAAGATTCTGAAAACATTGGGAGTCCATTCTCGATCTATTCCTTGGTTGTTGAAACAGCTGGAAATTGAATTCAGGGTTGATGAAAATTTGCCGCACGTAGTTTCGTAACATGCCAGCCAGAATTAATGTATAATTTGCGCTTCATTGTTGTGTGGACACTTTTCATAAAAGAGTGGATTTGACAATCCCATAACAAACCTTGCGAATAAGTTCTACATTAAAACTCAAGAGAAGAAAAAATGAGCATAGAGCTGATAACATTAAAATGAGAAAATCTACTAGATTATCGAGAGCACCTCCACTCGCTTGAATCCTCTGCCGACATTTCGCTGGATCGATGGGCGGCATCATGGCTTGCTGTAAAATAGGATGAGAACTTCCCGGATGTTTAATCTTTCCCCAACCTATCAAAGCAGAAAGTTCACAAAATTACCACTGAAACACGTCAATAGTTCAGATGACAGATAGATAGGTCCCAATTGTGTCCCCATCTGTTAAGTGATAACCTACCGGCGGGAATGGAAAGAATTATGAAAAGTGTACGAGGAAGCACGATAATGTTTCAACCATGCTTGCAGAAGGCTGTTATCTCCAACGCAGTGCTTTCTAAAGGAATCTCCCGTGTCATTTTCAAGCTAAACATGGTAATATACAGAACTCTACATTGTGAATACTGCTCCGCTGGTTAGGCAAGCAATAATAAAGGTGATTCAACCAACCATAGATTTTCAGTTAGGCGTCTGGAAAGTTTGAAGAATTTGCGGAGAGTTTTCTTCACAAGCTGGTGGGTCAATTACTCAATTTTTAAGCTTGTGTGTTTTGTTTTTATACACAAGAGTTTTGGGCATTATCATCGTATAGTATTCTCATAGTGTACATAAAAACAAGCGCGTTACTTATGACTGCTCTTACCTGTAATGTAACATTTTGATCCTGTGGGTACATTTGAGTCGCTAGACGGTAGGCACACGGGGTTCACCCTGGCAGAGAGTTTCACAGGCGCAGCGAGTTCAATCAGGGCGATGTCATTGTTCAGTCTACCAGGACGATTGTATTGAGGGTGAGAAATTACTCGCTTGGCGCCAACTGACTCCTCTGTTCCTTCGTTAGCATTCCGATTGTGATCTCCCACAACTACTTTGTAGCTAGCAGGGTTACTAAAGATAAACAACACAAGTATGCTCAGGTTGATTTGGAATTGCTGCATTATGGTTATGCACAACCTTCAATCGACAAAGAAGCTTATTACATTGTTGGACTGTCAAATATAGTCTGGAATATTTGTCCAATGAAGGAATATTATGCTATAGTGGGATGTGAATTATGCCTCGCCGTGTTTTGGTTGATCGGCCAGTTTATTCGTCTTATATTTGGTCACCTGTTCGTATGGTAAGTCAATCAGTTTCAAATCTCGGTGTTTTTCTCGATTGTAGGTTGGTTGGTTGTTTTATGGTGCATAGACAGTCAGTTGTAATTGACCGGCTAGGTCTGTTGACCAGTTTCATTGATTGTTCGACAGTAGTCGTCGAGATGGTCATTCGTTTGATCTTCGGTTGGGTCGGGTCTGTTGGTCGTTCCTTATTTATAGGTCGTTATTTGGCCAGTTGGTTGATTGGCCAGTCAGTTCAAGATTACTGGTCAGTAAGCTGGTTGGTCGCTATATGTTGAGGTTGGTGGGTTGATCAGTTTGGTAATCAGCCAATGTTTTTCTCAAAAGCTTCATTAGGCCTGCTCCCTGTTTATCAAATAAAAAAAGGAAGTCCTTACCTGCTGCTTGCTACACAATGGGCAGCAGTAACAATCCAAGTGGCAGAGATGAGCGATCCTCCGCAGATGAATCTGTTGTTACGCTGTAATGCGATCTATATGACGAAACATCGAAAGTATGAATACTAACTTCAAATTTCAAACATTTTATAAACTTTCATACAGGATCCGTTACCTTCAGTTGAAGGGATTTTAATGAACCTTAGCCTGCAAACATGGTTTTAAAAACATGACTACAATTCAGGAAGTCATGTTTAAACTTGCCAACAATGAAACCAAACGTTTATCTCGCCAGCGGTGATTTTCTAATATACCCTACAACTGCTGTTAAATTGAGGTTGCTAGTCTCTCGAAATAGACCGCGTAGAAGATGTACACTTGCAAAGCTAAGACATCACACCTGCCATGGCCAGGCTCCAGGCTTTGCATCTTGACCTCCAATGACACGTGATTGAGAGATGGGCGTGGAACCACACTGGAGTTGTCCTGTTGTGAAATGGCAATAAATTCTACTCAGTCAGTCAACTTAAAGGAGAAAAAGGCTGTGAATAATTTCTAATTCGAGAGAATCATTTTACCATTGACTCTATTTTCTTATGAAACTTGGGTAAGTTTAATCGAGTGGGTTCAACAACAAAGATTGATCGGAATCAAGGAACTGGATTAAGATAATTTTCGCATTGTTTCAATCATCAAGTTTCAACCTCTGAAAAAATTAAAATCTAAACGGACATAATGGTAAGACCTGTCTTTACGATTTCTTAAAACGCAGTCAATAGTTTGAAAAATGTGTGCAAGAATGAGGTTCTGTTCCCACACTTAAAATTAATATGTAAGCCAAAGAGGAATGTAGGTTTAAAACTTGTTTGTTGATAGATCTAATTCCTAACGAGCAAAGCCATCGAGCCGATGGAAAGGGAATTTGGCGAGTTGGTTGAGAAAAGCATTTTTTATTCATTCTATGTTCGTTTTAAAGAGTTTTCAGTTGATGCGAAGTATCATATTTCATTCTCGGCTTTTCAGTCGTTGACTATTTTAGCGGACCTTTTGCATGCGTCGACTCAAAATTGTGTCGCGGTATTCTCGGAAAACTGAACACAGAAGTTTTCCACCTTTTTTTGTACTCTGTTCGTATTTCTCAGGGAGCGCACCATGGAACTTACCTTGACACATTCTACATGACTTTTGACAGTTTTTTTGCGCCCAAGCTTTGTTATTGTTGCAGTAGTTTCCACATGATGCAATTGAAGGACAAATGTCAGCGTATTTGGGATTATCATTACAACCTGCGGAAACAATAGTATATTTTATTCCAACGGTGCATTTACATTGTGTTCCTTAAAATTCAATTGCTGTGGGCGCTGAATGATTTCACAGTTTATCGCTTCATTTTCAAGGCGTGAAAGAGAATTATAAACTATGCATGTTTTTCTCTTCAAAAATGTTTTTGAAATAAAATTTGCGGTAAGATAAGATGTAATTATTTGACGTAAAAATCTTACTTGGAGGTGGGGGTGGTTTTGCTGTTGGTGGAGCCGGGGTGGACGGCGGCGGTGGAGTCACTGGTGGAGGTGGGCTGGGTTGTGAAAGGCCTGCCTTGTTGGTTATCCATGACCTCAGATGGGCGATGCTAGCGTACACTCCATACTTGTTAGGCCTGGCGCAGCCATAACCCCAGCTTGTGGCTCCCTCCAAAAACCATCTGCCATTGAACTCGCAGACAAGCGGCCCACCACTGTCGCCTTGACAAGCATCCACTCCGCCTTGGTCCAGACCTGCGCACAACATGGTGTCGTCTATCTTGCCAGGATAGGCTCTCAAGCAACGCGCTTTTGATACAAGTGGGACGCTGGCTTGCATGAGTTCCTTGGGTTGACTGCCACCGGATTTCAGAGTCCCCCATCCAGTTATCCAGCAGTGCTTACTTTTGTCAATGGGAAGAACATTGCTTGGATTTGATAAACAGACGAGCCCAACTCCTCGACCAAGTACAGCGGGTTTAGCCAGTTTTAGGAGAGCTACGTCATTGCTGAAGGACTTTGGTTTTCTATAATTCTCGTGGGAAATGATCTGGGCAACGTTGATATTCTGTTCTGTTCCTACTAATTGTGATGTCCTGAAATGAGCTCCCACTCTACGTTTGATGAAAAGATAGCATAAATTGACAAAACATTCTCCGCTACAAGCTGTATTTCAAATTTGTATTTGTTTGATTTGGTTTTCTTGTTTGTTTGTTCGTCTTTTTATTGTACTGCAATGTAACATCATTTGTATGTTATGGCAGATATCGTTGATCGACGCCTAGACGCAAAATACAAAAACTTTCTTTGATCTGCCAAGATGTTATCAGCAGCATGTATTTCAAATAACTATTTTTCTCTGGTTTTTTTTTTCACTAACTCGCTGAGTTCACATCAGGACTCACATCTAAATGAAATCTTGCATAAGAGTGACACAAACAACTCAACCCATTTCAGAGTGAGTTGAATTTAGCACAATTGTCTGATTTTGTATGGACGATAAGTTTGTTGTTCTAAAAAATAATTTCGCTACAATTCTTGAGCAACGAACACCAACCTGACTCTAACACTACTGGGCGATTTCCGAGTAACACAATGCGCTGCTGTTACCACCCACAAAGGGTCAATCAATGAGCCTCCACAAAACTGCTGATTGGATGAGGTCAGCAGCATTACTTGCCAAGGCCAGCTGTTTCTGGGTGCTACTGTGCCACCAACGATTCGAACACTTGGTCGGGATCCACAATTACCGGCTAGACAACAAACAAACGGACAGCACTTCAATATCAGCTAGGATGGATGCTTGTTCCTTGATCAAATTATGACAAATAAATTCGATTTGTTGTGATGCGCATCAACTTCCTTTCAAATGCTTGGGTTTGGTTTTATTGTTAATTATTGATTTCACTCAGTAGTAAAGTATGTAGCTGGTTATTGCAAGACTGAATGCAACTTCATCTTGCGGAGATCATGCAACGCGCAGAAAAATATTGAACGAAATTGAAATCGATACAGGTTATAACTACAGAATGAGAAAAACACCCAAAAATAGTAAATTTGACAATCAATCAAAAGCTGTGGAGAAGTTTTGTCTGCAATAAAAATGTCTCGAAAAAGAGTCTTTCAATAAAACCAGGTCATTTAGATGCAGTATCCATGTAATATTTTTATACGGAGGTCAGTTAAAATTACGCATTGTGATTCAGTTACTTTAAAATGAAAGGTACCTGGAGGCAGAGGAGGAGTGGGTGGGGCGAAACAACCTCCTTTCGCTATGGTTACGTCATCAATAGCTATATCTCCTGACCAAGACCTCCCTCTGACTCCCTCAAATGTTACTTGAACCTGAAAGAAGATAATCAGTTTGCACACATGCACAATCGGGAAGAAAGATTTAGACACCAATTCTTGGATGGAACCATTCCGCGCTTTTTCGTTTGTTTTACAAAAATTTGATCAAATTTCCAATAATTTATCAGCATGTTTTGACCATATTTGACACATTCTACCAGAGCCATACAACAGCTCTCTAGGTACACGGCGATTTCGGTCCTACAGTCAAGATTTTCATGAAAAAAGTTGAAGATAGACGAGTCTGAAACTATGATTGCAATCTTAAAGCAAGAAATTGTTATCAAAAAAGACTTACTCGTACACTTGAAGAGATAGGAACCTTCGCCTCTATCCACTTATTTCCCTGGCTACCCGACTTGGTAAAGACATTTTTACTTCCGCTGTACACGTTTAGAGTTCCCACCGACCTTCCAAACATGTGATAAAAGAACTTCAGACAAAACGCGCCGCTATCAGAACCCGTAAATCTAAGTCTTGCTTTGTCTCCGTTTACTCTTGGAGATGAAGTTTCAATGTACATATACTTCCCTGAAGATAAAAATAAAAAGTTGTTTCGACATGAAATTTACCAGCTGTAGGTGGTAACCATACAACTAAATGGCGACACCAAAATATTTTCCAACATTTACCACACAGATTATTAGTCAAGCAAAATGCTTTGCGCAGTAATGATAAAACTCAAAACGCTATCAAGTTAGTACTGAGCAGCTTTTACTTAATGCAGTATAATTTTTTTTGTTCGAGTGAGCTAAGCACGCTTCGGACCAATCAAGATTTTCTGGCGCTAGGTCTAAGGCTTTTCAGGAAGTAGTTAGTGATGAACACAAGCTCTGAAAACGCAGGAAATTTATCACCATGCAAACGGGGGAAGGATTCACATAGGTAACTCAAGCTTTACTTATCAACTAATCGCTGCAAGAGAAAAATGAAATTTTTCAAAAGCGAAAATTTTGAACTAAATTCCGTATCTAGAGTTGCTTCTATCTTTTTTTTTCCGCTTACAGAACTTTGTAAGTTCGGTACCTACGTCACTTTTGCATAACTAACTTCGAATTACTTTTATTCCAGCTCGGTTACGCTCAAAAATAAAGACCGCAAAAATATGTCTTCCGTACTTGTTCTACCCGTTATCTCTTTAAATACGAGATTTATGTCATTTTAGGTCATAAAGTAGGAACAGAAGGTGGAATTTAAATGCACTGCCGGGATAAAATGCAAAGTAATGATTTCAGCGAAAAATCTCTTCGACTCTATCTTAGTGATAATGGCTCCTGTTCATTGAAAAGAAAGGCTTTAAAAGTAATTCTTCCAACACATACCTGAACCTCCGTGGCCCGAAGATGGGCCAGTGTTGGACGATGGGGTGGAACCAGATCTCGATGTCCAGTCAAAATTATCTGACTTATCCTGAGTCCAGCCAGAACACACACCACTTTCAAAGTTACAAGAGGATGCTGCATAGGAATTTGAACAATGAAATATTTTTCTCTAAATATTATTTACTCTAGCAAAGATTATATGAAAACCGAGTGTGTGAAAACATAGCGAAAAAAGTATAACTTCTTACGAGGTATTCGTTACTTAATGTGTGTTGGGATTTATCGTTGTTTAAATGTTTTGTAAGTGTTTTGAAAAATTAAGCAGGAATTATACGAGAATGGTAGATTATGTTTCTTGACTTTCTGTGCTTTCCGTAACACAAATAGATTGAGTAAATATAACAGAATTTATACAACCTGAAGATGGAGGAGGAGGAGAAGCGGTGGCAGGTGTCGTTCGACAACTCCAGTACCCTGCTTACTATTACGAGAATACAACTGCTGTGAAAATGGAATTGTTCTTTGGACATCGCTCAGGGCTGTGAAGGGACCAGGGAAGGGCAAAACTCGAATAGCAAAAATCCCCAAGGATTGAAATTATGATTAAAAAGTCAGGTTCAAGTTTGAGCTTGTATTTGAGAGAAATGGCAAAATGTTTCTTTCTCGCGAGTATTTATGTTTCCGATTGGGAAATAAATTTAACTTGCGGTGTAAAGCGATCACTGGTAAAAGTTTCTAAAATTAATAATCAAAAGGAGAAGACTAACATAAAATGGTTACTGATTTACCTTCCCCAGACAAAACTTCCCCAACAATCAAACAGCACAAGACAGCGAATACCCTCATCTTGCTGAAACCTGAAGATGTGATTGTCAAGAGTTCTTGGCTACTTTTATAACAGATCCTACACCTTCGAAATTTACCCTGTGTAAACTTAAAAGTTGCAGCTGTCTGAAAGGTAAATCACAGCTGTCTGGAGAGCAAATACTTCCGACTGTGCTTCATGGTAATGAAGGTAATTACTTTGTTAGAAAACCTCAAAAGCACCGGCGACTTCAGCTATTTAGTTCATGTTTATATGCAATTAACACTAAAAAGATATTGAAAATAGCAGCTTTCCTCTTTCGTTTTCTTTTGATCTTCGCCGAATGACTGAAAAGTTATCTCGCGCAAGTATAGATACCTATTTCGCATTTCCTCTGAGCTAAGCTGAAGATGATATGTGGATTTTGGAAGAGCTATGGAAACAAACTGGCTGCAATTAAAACTAAGAAATGCCATTATCAATCCTTGTTGATTAAAATACTGAGAACAGTTATTCGGACTTCCCAAACCGATCAATCGAGACCGCTTTCTCACATGATGAGCAAACATTCTCACAGAAACATGAATTGATCGTTAGAAAAATGTAAATGTTTGCTAAGAAATTAAACTTTAAAAATTGTTACATGCATTCCAGAACCACAAAGATTTCAGTGAAACTTTCAGGTAGCAGCTCTGTTTTAATTTACAGTTTTTTCAGTTTCTTGACTTAGATTCTGAGCATTTTTATTTTCTTTTCCATATTGTTCATATTGTTTAAATTGGGTTCATATTTAAATAGTCGATTTTGCAAAATGATATCACAGCCGTCAGAGTCAATTAGGTGTATTCTTAGGTCTATAAAAGATAACAAGGGCTCAATAACTCCTCTATCATCGACATTCAATGTTAGTAAATACTCTATACAATTCGCGGATCATTCGCTTACGTAAACACGTTAACAATCCTCCGAGGTATGAATGCGGGAGTAACAACAGTCAACTGATAGCTAGTTAGGGTTAATGTTGGGTTATCCCAAGGGAAGCACGCAACATGCCATTATTGATATCGTTGGACCAAAAACTTTTCACTTGCGGGATCTTTTTAGACTTAAAAAAGGCCTTTGATACCGTCGACCATTTAATCTTGCTTCAAAAACTTAATCATTATGGCATCAGAGGAATTATCAATGCTTGGTTTGCCTCGTACCTTCTCGGTCGTTCATAAGTAACTGAAGTGGGTTTTAACTTATCTACCGAATGTACCGAATGTATGATCTCATGTGGTGTCCCACAGGGGTCTGTGCTTGGTCCTCTGTTATTCTTAATCTATATTAACGATATTCACAACTCTTCAGCGAAATTATCATTCTATCTCTTTGCTGACGACACGAGCTTGTTGTATGCTGACTCTAATTTGAAATCTCTTGAAAAAACCGTCAATAGCGAACTGCTCAAAGTCTCTGACTGGCTCAATGCAAATAAGTTAACGCTCAATGCTAAAAAGTCAAACTATGTTATCTTTCGTCCATATCAACGTAAGTTGAACTACTCGATTAACATTGAAATGATCGATAACTGTACTCAAATTCCTACCACGCTTCAGTGCGAAGACCATGTTAAATATCTTGGCGTCCTATTGGACAGCAACTTAAGCTGGAAATTTCAAATAAATAATGTTGCATTAAAAATAAGCAGAACTGTTGGTGTTGTTGCCCGTCTTAGGCACTTCGTCCCACGTACAACCCTTTTAAATATTTATCAATCATTGATCTTGCCTCATCTGACATATGGTTTGGCGGCTTGGGGTCAAGCTGCCAAAACCCATTTAAAAAAAATCCTCGTGCTTCAAAAACGAGCCCTTCGTTTGATGTACTTTTCTGAACCTAGAACCCATGCTGTGCCTTTATTTATTTCCTCGAAAATTCTACCCCTACAAATGTTATATGCTGAAAAAGTATCTTCTATAATGTTTGACGTTTCCTGCATGAATGCTCCGTTTAACATCTGTGATTTCTTCACTAAAGCTAATTCAAAGCACAGGCATGAGACCAGGTTTTCTTCGTCTGGAAATTATTATGTTCAAACTTCAAGACTGAATCTAAATCAAGATTCTTTTTCCAGGTTTGGAGCTAAACTTTGGAACGCAATTCCTAACGAATTTCGTCAACTCTCCAAAGGAGCTTTTAAGAAAAATTTTCATGACTTTTTGCTCTCGATAATGGAAGCAGAGGACGATTATGTTGAAGTGCCCATTCTTCTACAAAAAATGGCAAATTCTGCATCCTCGACTCAATGTATATAATTGATAGTTCTGTTAGTAGTAAATTTGATTGTAATATCATTCTGTAAGACTATATATTTTGTAACTTTAGCTTGTTTGTTTTTTTTTTTCAGTAGTTCTTATTTATCCAGATAGTTTATTTAGTTACTTTACAATTATTATATTATCTGTTATGACTGCTGTAACCTTTCCTCTCCGCCTGCCTCGTCTAGCTTTTGCTATTTGCGGGTAGAGATGGCAAAATGATTTGCATGAAATAAAGTATAGTGTGTATTCTCGTTGAAAAAAAAAAAAAAAAAGAAGGTAGTCGCCCAGATACTGATATTGATCTGACAGTCTTTGTTATTGGGCATTTTGACATACTAATATGAAAGGAGGGAAAGATGAAAAACCAGGATGAAAAAGAAATAAAGTGTTACCCTAAATGCATACATAGCTTGAGGTTTGTGATGGTATAGCTGTGATGGACTAGCTACAAACCTGTAATCCCTGATTTGTTTTTTGTAATCTGCCCTGTTCCTCAGTCAGTTCCTTGACCTTCTTCTCTATTGCTGATTTTTTCTCATCCTAAAAGACACAGAATGATGCAAATTTAACTTAAACATCATTAAGAGATTCTCTCATTAAGTAGGGTGTGCACAACCATTAAAAGGTAAAAACTACTGAGGACATTACCAATGCTTTTCACTTCCCACCTTTTAAGATAAGTTTTGAGGCTATTTAACACTCTTTGCATAATAAAAAGGATGCAAATGCACAACAAATATAATCTATAACATCACTGAGAGACACACTTATTAAATGGGGTGAGTACAGAGATTTCTGGCTAACAATCACCAGGAATATTCTAAAGGTTTGTCATTTTGGCCTTTTTATACCAATTTGAGGCATTTGCACCCTTTTTGCATGATTAAGAGTGACATTGTCCAAAACATTTGCCTGTAGAGTATGTACATCATGGGTAAGCCAGTTATATGTATTTACCTGCAAAATATTTGGCTGCCATCTTGGATGTTTAGGGCAGAGTTAGTTTAGGTTTGGTTAAGGAGAGAGGTAGAATTGCCAAAGGGGAGGGGGGGTGGATTATAGATAAGGGACACCCTTCTCCCATGGGTGGCACTTTGCAATGTAATAAGATGCCTGCACTCCAAGCTATCCAAGCATCTCTTTAAATATTATTACATTCCTCCACAACTCTGTCTAATTCTTCTTGCATAACTCTCAGTTTTGCCTTAAGGAATCTGATTGTAGCTTCTACAATTGCAAAAAAGTGTATTGATATTATTAGAGACACTAAGATAATCCAGTGGCTAAAGGTTAATTTTGTAAAACCAATTATAACATACATCATAACTCAGCTCATAGGAACCGAGTTCTTGGCCTTTATCTGCTGTATTGGTGGCCATTTCAAAAGTTTTTAGTTAAAGAAGTTTCTAGTTAAATAAGCCCTAATGCCGCTAAAACAGCTAAAATCAGCGGTAAAAGTAACCACAAAAACAAATTTAAAACAAGTATTGATTACTCATGATCCCATGATCTCCCAAACTTGAAAATTGTGTCCAAAGTTATGGTATACATTATTGTTTCTACTGAGAAAATTTGTCTAAACAGCACCCCTTGCTCTTAAAATGAAATATCAAAATGGCTCATTTGTTAATGGTCTGCACAGAAAGACAAAAAAAATAATAATGAAGAAATATATCTAAATTCTACCTCCATGTGTAAGGTGAACACATTGTTTACCTGATCCCATCTCCTCAGCACCAACTGGCAAAACACTGTTGTCAGTTGTAGTTGTAGTATAATTATTGTCTTGGGCTTCATTCTCTAGCGTGCTGATTGTGTTTGCCAGAGTTATCCTATCCTGAAGCATATCAATTAGGTCATCAGAGGGTACAGGAGTGTGAGGTACACTTCCAGGTGCTGATGCTGTTTTAGATTTTGGCCTAAGGTAGAGATACAAAAGAGAAATTATTGTTAGTAAATTTTATTGCTAAATATTCTACTAATAGTACATTTGTGAAATTGCTTGCTGATCAGCAGGTTGATGTAATTTCAACTTAACAGGCATGACTTCTTAAATGTACCTTTATTTGTCCAATATCATCAAACAATTTTATGACTAATGTGCCAATTGAAAACATCTGAGGTAGCAAAATATAAACACTACATAGAGTGTACAATTTGGTAGTTTTCTCCCAATTTTATGTATACTGTGTGTAAAGAAAATTTTAAACTATTGAATTTAGGTATTTTGTTCAAAACCATACCAGCCATTGTGAAATTTAGGTATCAAAAATCTGTCTGCAGCTTTGATACTGCTAAAAGTTGATTATCAAGCATAGTGTAATTGCATGGATGCATGCATGCTAACTCTGCTACTTGGCACTACTATGGATCTGCAAAGAAAAGTGCTCTATACATGGCCAAAACTGCTAGCAAAACTAAAGATTCAATCTGCTGAATCAGTGACAGAGCAAAATATCGAGCTATTTAATGTCAGGTTGAATTTTTTTAAATACAGAAAATTGGGCCACTGTCAAGTTATAGTGTTGTCAACCAGAAGTCTTTGATCAAACATTATCAAAACACTTAGTCATGTTTATTTATGTAAGCTAATTAAGCTGAGCATGGTACAGGCAGCACATTAGCCATGTTTACCTAGTTTTCTTTGTTCTTGAAGTAGGTCTACTTCCCTGTTTGCCTGCTGCACTACTCATAGGCCTTGTCTGTGTCATAGTCGTATTACTGCCTACAGGTTTCTGAAATAAACAGATAAAAAAATATTGACTAAGGTTGAGTGTGGGAAGATACATTTGCAAATGCACCAAAAAGGTACCTGTTTTAAGACTGATGATGAAGGTATATCCACATTTGAAAAGTCCATCGATGGAAGAAGATCTATGAGAAGGAAAAAAATATTAATTAAGTGTTCTCTAGAGGCACCAGCAGCCTCCATTTTCAATCCCTACTTGTACGTGTCTGAAGCACTAGCTATTTGAATATGAAAAAAAAGAAATGCCTGCCTTGATTTGAACAAAATTTTAACTCTTCCTTCAGTTTTGTTTTTGCACCCAAATATTTTCATTAAAATTGGAGAGATAATAATAAGTACAAGCAAAAGATGCCTTAGGAACAAATGCTCATACCCTTATTTACTTACTCTAGATTTTCTGATAATTTTACTTCTGTTGCAGTAGGTCTGGAAAGAAGCTCATCTTGGTCATGCTGGCATGTATCCATAAAAAACAAAACTTGTCAAATGTAAATTCAAACAACGAGTATCTCTAATTCTTTCTAAGATGGGGGTAAAATTCAATTTAAGCTGGGCAGAAGTTTTAAACATGTGATGGAGAGGGGGCCCAGAGGGAAACCACTTCATTTTGCTATGACAGTACAGGTGTATGTCAGCTTTGTGATGAAAGGTGCATGGGGGTGGGTTCTGGTTTGGTTGCCATGGTGATGTCCTTGTTGCAGGAGAGCTGCAATCCTTTCCCTCTTTCCTTCTCTCTCTATTTTTGCCCTCCAAGCACCTGCATGTACACCTACATGTGCACCTACATGTACACCTACATGTACACCTACATGCACCTACATGCACCTACATGCACCTACATGCACCTACATGCACCTACATGTACACCTACATGCACCTACATGTACACCTACATGCACCTACATGTACCTTATGGTGTTAGGGAAATGCTTCAAATTAACATAATTTCCTTAGCCACACTGTAATTTCAGTAAAAGAGGTATCTTTTGTTATGTGAATTGGGGGCATAACTTTCTATTCCATAACTGCTGAAATATGGTTTAGGAACTTTTTTCCTTTTCTTTCATTGAGAAGGTATTAGGCTTACAGTACTTTTCCATGCAGTTTCTTTTATTTTGTTTTAGTTCTATCTTTTAAACAAGCAATGGAATTATTGAAGATAGGACGTTGGAACCCATTTGTACCTTTCTTTATCAGATTAAGTAATCAAATCATGTGACTCCTGAGATTGGAATTCCACTCTTGTCTCAATAATATGGAATAGAGTCTACAAAATCTCAGAATAGTGTGGAACTCTCAATTTCACTCAAGAATAAAGTCTTTGGAAGTGGAATCATCAGGGTTGTAGCCAAGGCTCAACATTCAAAAATAAAATTGTCAAAATACATGGAGACTCAATCAAAATGTCAGCTATAAATATCCCATGGGTCAAAATGGGTCTAGAGTCAAGATACTCCAAACACAGTTGAATCAATTTTGAGCTCTCCTTTGTTTAACATAAGTGTTGCAGCTTAAAATGATTCCAGCTCAAAATAATTTCAGAGTGCTTAAAAAATAATGCAGTTTTCTTTTTTCAAGGTGCACATTAATATACCTCAACCTAAGAAATCAACTCAAACAAGTTTGAAATCATTTTGACTTGAAATTCATTTTATTATACCATATTTTTCCATAATCTGAAAATAAAGGAAAATGAATACAGTTTGAAACCATCCAAACTTAAAAATTCCCCTTCAACAGTAATGTATAAATATGCAGACTGACATATATAGAAGGTGAATCATACAGTAACATGATAATACTATAACTGCAGTAAAGGTTCCAAAATTACCATCACTTCCTCTGCTTCTTTTATCAGAGTTGCAGTTCTTTCCTCTAATTCAGCATTGAGTCGCCTTTGTGTCAAAACATAGCAAGTAAGCATAAATTCACAAACATACAGAAGTTTGTGAGAAAATTAATTTTTTTCTCTGCATCTATCAACACTACCACAACTCTCAGGAACTCATTAGTAATTCTCCTTACTATTGGCCATACGATTCTTTTGACGAGAGTTTGAGTTTGGAGATGTAAGGAGAAAACCTGTTTTGGTCACTCATGAGAATTAAAGGGTAGAAACTGAGGCTACCTTTTCAGTAATCAGAGAAAGATTATCGAGAAAGCTTCCTATAAAGTAAACCAATAAAACCCTTGCTCATACGTTAATAATATAAATTTATCTACCAAAAATTCCCACCTCATTTATCCAGCCAAATTTTGATATTAAATTATTACAATTAGATTTACATTCTAAATTTCATTTAAAATCAAAGCAGATGACCACGACTTAATTTTGGAAAGAAATTGTTTATGTCTATAAATCTACTAATCTGTAAATTGTATCTCAAACGTTTGAGTTGGGGATACAGGTATTTTTTTTCGCCTGACCCTCCATCCTAGGTTCTTTCAGGAATAGGATCAAAACGATGGGGGACATGACCGTCGTGTATCTTATCGCATGTTTTGAAAGGAACAGCGACAGATAGAACTACTCAATGTAAACAGTGTGCTTTTAAGTTGCTGTCATTTATGTTTGTGTGCCTCGCAGGGTCATAAAAGTAGTTGGGCACTGCTATTACTTAAGATAGACGCCTTATACTGACGTATACTCCTCTTCCTTGCTCAGAAGGCCCTGTGCTATATTCTTTGTCTTTCCAGAGGGTGGTTTTTCCATACTTGACGATCTCGGGAAACTTCCAGAAAATTTTCGACCTCCATTTGAAGAAGCTGAGGAAGATCGCTTTGCCGCCGAACTTAGACGTGACTGTAAAAAGGAAATAAAAAATAGTTACACCGGCTAATCTTCCTCTGTCTTGGAAAAACAAAATCATTCCAAATGGTAATGTCATCACTCACGATGATAACGACCTTGACTTAAAATTTTTTGATTTACCTCTGGTTGATTTGAAAGGTAATTTGGTACCCAGTGGCTTCTCGGTTTTCATTCCGGCGCCATTTTGAAAACCCATACTTCCTGGGAACCAACGAAGTGATACGAAACATGGTAATTTAGCGTTATCAGTTGAGTTGAAGACGTAAATTTGGCCACCGATTTTAAAGGCTGACGTTTCGAGCTTCAATCGCTCTGACGAAGCCCTAACACTCGAAACGTCAGCCTTTAAACTCTTAACGGTCGCCAATTTACGTTTTCAACTCAGTTAATAACACTAAATTACCCTGTTATTACCCCTACTCTCATACAGACGCAGCACCACAGGTTCTTAAGAAACTTAACCCCTTGATACGAAACATGGACGATGATACCAATGATATAGCTGGCACGGGGTCAAGGTCAACCATTTTTGCAGATCTTCGAGATAACTATAAACCAGACGGTCTTGCCTTTGTTACTTGCCCTGAAGCTTATAAGGGAAAGCATCTAATATCGGAGCGTGTCATCGAGCCTCTGAGAGAGGCGAATGTTGGAAACATTTCGCAATAAGGTAAAGCTACTACAACAGACGAGGTTACATATGAGTGGGTGGCGACTATCTTTCAAGAGTACGCTAAAGAGAAAGACGAGGACGATGCAAGATTTGATGTAGTTCACTTTTTTCATAGTCTCCACTATGTTTATCTCGAGACCACGTTGAAGCATTGTTACGAGAAAGAACTTAAAGCGCATTGAATAATCTTCTGTGTAATTCAATGGGAAGAGAATGCCTTTGTGAAATATGGGAGAAGAGCATTCACTCAAAGTCTGGTTTTCAATTCGGGTGCGTACCTCAGCGATGAGCAGGTCAGAGACATCGCTGAGAAAAACGGATAGAAATACGTGGAGTATCCAGGTGAGGTCAAAACATGCGACATCACGAGCATCTTTAACTCATCATCTCTGGGCTCCGCGATTTTTTCTCGCAATGGCTTGATATCAGGAAAACTGCAAACGAAGATAATCTACAGAAAATTCTCAACTTCTGGAAAGATAAGTGAGCTGTAAAAGGCCGGTCGAGGGGGCCTCATCATTTTCAAAGGAATATGAATGATGTGAGCTGTTATTTTAGGGGATAGGCTCTGGAACGAGACACTGCTGTGATCTGCTGTCCTTAAAATGAGCCACCCCTAAGAGACCTCTCTTGTTCATAGTGGAGAACAAAGATCGACCTTTAGCGAGCTCTAGCGGACGATTTAATAAGCATTATTTAGTTAATACTCTCTAAGTTTAGTTCTATGATGACAAGTTTTCGTTTGTTTAAGTTTCTCGTGAGAATTTCTCTTGCAACTTAGTAAAGAAAGGTATGCAGGGGGGAAGAAAGCATTGCGAAACCCCTTATTTTGCATATTTGTGATAAAGTGTGCGTTGGTATCTATTGATAATGGATTGTTCTCGAGGGTATTATCTCATGGGATCATTTACTACGGTGAATAGTTTAAACGTAGGTGTAATAATTGATATTGCAGTTTGATCGTCCGAATGTCAGTAATCTTGAACACGAGTCACAAGCACTCTTTACTGATCATGACTTTCGCTCAGTATCAGTGTCAGTCGTTAGTACCGACAGTCAGTGTTTTCCCGGTCTACTATTGTACATTTTTATATCGTTATATCAGACTACACGAACAACCGATCAAATACAGAAAATCACATGTAGATTGGAGAAGTATCTATATAAATCTGTGGAAGCGTTTTTTCCCTTTCGTATCTGGTGCAGCGATGTTTCACGTACCGGAAGAATATCGATTTACATTTTAAGGTGCTCTCATTTTAGCACCAACACAAACAGATATTCCGAATTAACTGGGTAAAAAATTTAAGACCGTTCAAAAATCTTCAGCTGTATCATTTTTTGCCTCGACTGCACGCACAATTTCGGCGATGGCTAAGTTTTCATTGGCCACTTTTCTGGATTCTTATGAAAACGGTCATCGGGTAAAAAAGAGGTCGGAAAAAATAATTGAAACTCCACACTTTTCACACGTAAATTGCTTTTTATTTCCCCTCAAACCACCTTAAATTAACACTTTAAGAACGCATTTTCTGATGGATCCAGTTTATGTACAGTTTATCTATCCGCATGTTCTCATCCACCTAACCCAGTGTGCTGTTTGATCCACGCTCGGTACTGCGTCACTCGAGCAAACACAGTAAAAAGTTGTTTAGCATCGCATCTGGAGGAACCCCAGCTTACTGCACCATGCAAGGTGTATGTCTTCCCGTCCGCATTCAAGCACACATACGGTCCTCCGCTGTCACCATGGCAACCACTTAAAATGGTATTGTCCACGCCCGCGCACAACATTTGCGGAGTTAACGATATTGAGACTACAAAAAATGAAAATATCCCTAAATAAGCACGAGTAATCCAAAAACACAATTTTTAACCATTGTCAAAGATAATACAAAACTTCTTTGGATTTTATTAACACCGTGAAAAATCTTCTTGTGACTGATGTTACTCGAATTCAATATGTTCTTGCTGAAGTGAAACGGCATTCGACTTAGTCAATTAAAGGGTTCATTAACAAATAGTGGGTTACAGGGTTTGATAAACAAGTATGGTTAGTTCGAAGCATCAATTGATGCAAGCAGGAGTAGTTTAACAGGCATTTTCAAAGTGAAACCTAAGTAAAAGAATCAAATTCTATGAAAGCATCGAAGTTCAAACCCTCAACTGACTTAGTGATCCGTCACTGAAGTACATTGTTATCTAGATCGGTTAAAAAGATTCGGATTTCGGGCCCACCTAAGATGGCATTAGCCACGGCATTTACATGGCGATTAGTTCAGATCATTAAGATTCTGAAAACATTGGGAGTCCATTCTCGATCTATTCCTTGGTTGTTGAAACAGCTGGAAATTGAATTCAGGGTTGATGAAAATTTACCGCACGTAGTTTCGTAACATGCCAGCCAGAATTAATGTATAATTTGCGCTTCATTGTTGTGTGGACGCTTTCCATAAAAGAGCGGATTTGACAATCCCATAACAAACCTTATGAATAAGTTCTACATTAAAACGCATGAGAAGAAAAAATGAGCATAGAGCGGACAACATTAAAATGAGAAAATCTACTAGATTATCGAGAGCACCTCCATTCGCTTGAATCCTCTGCCGACATTTCGCTGGATCGATGGGCGGCATCATGGCTTGCTGTAAAATAGGATGAGAACTTCCCGGATGTTTAATCTTTCCCCAACCTATCAAAGCAGAAAGTTCACAAAATTACCCCTAAAACACGTCAATAGCTCAGAAGACAGATAGGTAGGTCCCAATTGTGTCCCCATCTGTTAAGTGATAACCTACCGGCGGGAATGGAAAGAATTATGAAAAAGTGTACGAGGAAGCACGATAATGTTTCAACCATGCTTGCAGAAGGCTGTTATCTCCAACGCAGTGCTTTCTAAAGGAATCTCCCGTGTCATTTTTAAGCTAAACATGGTAATATACAGAACTCTACATTGTGAATAATGCCCTGCTTGTTAGGCAAGCAATAATAAGGCTGATTCAACCAACCATAGATTTTCAACTAGGCGCTGGAGAGTTTGAAGAGTTTGCAGAGAGTTTTCTCCACAAGCCGGTGGGTTAATTACTAAACTATAAAGGTTGTGTGTTTTGTTTTTATACACAAGAGTTTTGGGCATTATCATCGTATATTATTCTCATAGTGTACATAAAAACAAGCGCGTTATTTATGACTGCTCTTACCTGTAATGTAACATTTTGATCCTGTGGGTACATTTGAGTCGCTAGACGGTAGGCACACGGGGTTCACCCTGGCAGAGAGTTTCACAGGCGCAGCGAGTTCAATCAGGGCGATGTCATTGTTCAGTCTACCAGGACGATTGTATTGAGGGTGAGAAATTACTCGCTTGGCACCAACTGACTCCTCTGTTCCTTCGTTAGCATTCCGATTGTGATCTCCCACAACTACTTTGTAGCTAGCAGGGTTACTAAAGATAAACAACACAAGTATGCTCAGGTTGATTTGGAATTGCTGCATTATGGTTATGCACAACCTTCAATCGACAAAGAAGCTTATTACATTGTTGGACTGTCAAATATAGTCTGGAATATTTGTCCAATGAAGGAATATTATGCTATAGTGGGATATGAATTATGTCTCGCCGTATTTTGATTGCTTGGTGAATCGGTTGATCGGCCAGTTTATTCGTCTTATATTTGGTCACCTGTTCGTATGGTAAGTCAATCAGTTTCAAATCTCGGTATTTTTCTCGATTGTAGGTTGGTTGGTTGTTTTATGGTGCATGGACAGTCAGCTGTAATAAGCCGGCTAGATCTGTTGACCAGTTTCATTGATTGTTCGACAGTAGTCGTCGAGATGGTCATTCGGTTGATCAGTCGGTTGGGTCGGGTCTGTTGGTCGTTCCTTATTTATAGGTCGTCAGTTGGCCAGTTGGTTGATTGGCCAGTCAATTCAAGATTACTGGTCAGCAAGCTGGTCGGTCGCTATATGTTGAGGTTGGTGGGTTGATCAGTTTGGTAATCAGAAAATGTTTTTCTCAAAAGCTTCATTAGGCCTGCTTTATCAAATAAAAAAAGGAAGCCCTTACCTGCTGCTTGCTACACAATGGGCAGCAGTAACGATCCAAGTGGCAGAGATGAGCGATCCTCCGCAGATGAATCTGTTGTTACGCTGTAATGCGATCTAGAGGACGAAACATCGAAAGTATGAATACTAACTTCAAATTTCAAACATTTTATAAACTTTTATACAGGATCCGTTACCTTCAGTTGAAGGAATTTTAATGAACCTTAGCCTGCAAACATGGTTTTAAAAACATGACCACAATTCAGGAGTCATGTTTAAACTTGCCAACAATGAAACCAAACGTTTATCTCGCCAGCAGTGATTTCCTAATATACCCTACAACTGATTTTAAATTGAAGTTGCTAGTCTCTCGAAACAGACAGCGTAGAAGATGTACACTTGCAAAGCTAAGACATCACACCTGCCATGGCCAGGCTCCAGGCTTTGCATCTTGACCTCCAATGACACGTGATTGAGAGATGGGCGTGGAACCACATTGGAGTTGTCCTGTTGTGAAATTGCAATAAAGTCTACTCAGTCAGTCAACTTAAAGGAGAAAAAGCTGTGAATATTTTCTTATTCGAGAGAATCATTTTACCATTGACTCTATTTTCTTGTGAAACTTGGGAAAGCTTAATCGAGTGAGCTCAACAACAAAGATTGATAGGAATCAAGGAATTGGATTGAGATAATTTTCGCTTTGTTTAGCAATCATAAAGTTTCAACCTCTGAAAAAATTAAAATCTAAACGGACATAATGGTAAGAACTGTCTTTACGATTTCGTAAAACGCAGTCAATAGTTTGAAAAATGTGTGCAAGAATGAGGTTCTGTTCCCACACTTAAAATTAATATGTATGCCAAAGAGGAATGTAGGTTTAAAATTTGTTTGTTGATAGATCTAATTCCTAACGAGCAAAGCCATCGAGCCGATCGAAAGGGAATTGGGCGAGTTGGTTGAGAAAAGCATTTTTTATTCATTCTGTGTTCGTTTTAAAGATTTCTCAGTTGATGCGAAGTATCAAATTCATTCTCGGCTTTTCAGTCGTTGACTATTTTAGCGGACCTTTTGCATGTGTCGACTCAAAATTGTGTTCCCACCTTTTTTTGTACTCTGTTCGTATTTCTCAGGCAGCGCACCATGGAACTTACCTTGACACATTCTACACGACTTTTGACAGTTTTTTTGCGCCCAAGCTTTGTTATTGTTGCAGTAGTTTCCACATGATGCAATTGAAGGACAAATGTCGGCGTATTTGGGATTATCATTACAACCTGCGGAAACAATAGTATATTTTATTCCAACGGTGCATTTACATTGTGTTCCTTAAAATTCAATTGCTGTGGGCGCTGAATGATTTCACAAATTACCGCTTCATTCTCAAGGCGTGAAAAGTAGCACATAAACATTTACGTGGAAGATGAAGAGAATTGTAAACTATGCATGTTTTTCTCTTCAAAAATGTTTTTGAAATAAAATTTGAGGTAAGATAAGATGTAATTATTTGACGTAAAAATCTTACTTGGAGGTGGGGGTGGTTTTGCCGTTGGTGGAGCCGGGGTGGACGGCGGCGGTGGAGTCACTGGTGGAGGTGGGCTGGGTTGTGAAAGGCCTGCCTTGTTGGTTATCCATGACCTCAGATGGGCAATGCTAGCGTACACTCCATACTTGTTAGGCCTGGCGCAGCCATAACCCCAGCTTGTGGCTCCCTCCAAAAACCATCTGCCATTGAACTCGCAGACAAGCGGCCCACCACTGTCGCCTTGACAAGCATCCACTCCGCCTTGGTCCAGACCTGCGCACAACATGGTGTCGTCTATCTTGCCAGGATAGGCTCTCAAGCAACGCGCTTTTGATACAAGTGGGACGCTGGCTTGCATGAGTTCCTTGGGTTGACTGCCACCGGATTTCAGAGTCCCCCATCCAGTTATCCAGCAGTGCTTACTTTTGTCAATGGGAAGAACATTGCTTGGATTTGATAAACAGACGAGCCCAACTCCTCGACCAAGTACAGCGGGTTTAGCCAGTTTTAGGAGAGCTACGTCATTGCTGAAGGACTTTGGTTTTCTATAATTCTCGTGGGAAATGATCTGGGCAACGTTGATATTCTGTTCTGTTCCTACTAATTGTGATGTCCTGAAATGAGCTCCCACTCTGCGTTTGATGAAAAAGATAGCATAAATTGACAAACATTTCCCCGCTACAAGCTTTATTTCAAATTTGTATTTGTTTGATTTGGTTTTCTTGTTTGTTTGTTCGTCTTTTTATTGCACTGCAATGTAACATCATTTGTATGTTATGGCAGATATCGTTGATCGACGCCTAGACGCAAAATACAAAAACTTTCTTTGATCTACCAAGCCGTTATCAGCAGCATGTATTTCAGTGAAATAATTATTTTTCTATGTTTTTTTTTTCACTATCTCGCTGAGTTCACATCAGGACTCACATCTAAATAAAATCTTGCATAAGAGTGACACAAACAACTCAACCCATTTCAGAGCGAGTTGAATTTAGCACAATTGTCTGATTTTGTATGGACGATAAGTTTGTTGTTCTAAAGAAAAATTTCGCTACAGTTCTTGAGCAACGAATACCAACCTGACTCTAACACTACGGGGCGATTTCCGAGTAACACAATGCGCTGCTGTTACCACCCACAAAGGGTCAATCAATGAGCCTCCACAAAACTGCTGATTGGATGTGGTCAGCAGCATTACTTGCCAAGGCCAGCTGTTTCTGGGTGCTACTGTGCCACCAACGATTCGAACACTTGGTCGGGATCCACAATTACCGGCTAGACAACAAACAAACGGACAGCACTTCAATATCAGCTAGGATGGATGCTTGTTCCTTGATCAAATTATGACAAATAAATTCGATTTGTTGTGACGCGCATCAACTGCCTTTCAAATGGTTGGGTTTGGTTTTATTGTTAATTAATGACTTCACTCATCAGTAAAGTAAGTAGCTGGTTATTGCAAGGCTGAATGCAACTTCATCTTGCGGAGATCACATGCAACGCGCAGAAAAATATTGAACGAAATTGAAATCGTTGCAGGTTATAACTTCAGAATGAGAAAAACACCCAAAAATAGTAAATTTGACTATCAATCAAAAACTGTGGAGAAGTTTTGTCTGCAATAAAAATGTCTCGAAAAAGAGTCTTTCAATAAAACCAGGCCATTTAGATGCAGTATCCATGTAATATTTTTATACGGAAGTCAGTTAAAATTACGCATTGTGATTCAGTTATCTTAAAATGAAAGGTACCTGGAGGCGGAGGAGGAGTGGGTGGGGCGAAACAACCTCCTTTCGCTATGGTTACGTCATCAATAGCTATATCTCCTGACCAAGACCTCCCTCTGACTCCCTCAAATGTCACTTGAACCTGAAAGAAGATAATCAGTTTGCACACATGCACAATCGGGAAGAAAGATTTAGACACCAATTCTTGGATGGAACCATTCCGCGCTTTTTCGCTTGTTTTACAAAAATTTGATCAAATTTCCAATAATTTATCAGCATGTTGTGACCATTTTTGACACATGCTACCCGAGCCATACAACAGCTCTCTAGGTACACGGCGATTTGGGGCCTACAGTCAAGAGTTCATGAAAAAAGTTGAAGATAGACGATTCTCAAACTATGATTGCAATCCTAAAGTAAGAAATTGTTATCAAAAAAGACTTACTCGTCCACTTGAAGAGATAGGAACCTTCGCCTCTATCCACTTATTTCCCTGGCTACCTGACTTGGTAAAGACATTTTTACTTCCGCTGTACACGTTTAGAGTTCCCACCGACGTTCCAAACATGTGATAAAAGAACTTCAGACAAAACGCGCCGCTATCAGAACCTGTAAATCTAAGTCTTGCTTTGTCTCCGTTTACTCTTGGAGATGAAGTTTCAATGTACATATACTTCCCTGAAGATGAAAATAAAAAGTTGTTTCGTCATGAAATTTACCAGCTGCAGATGGTAACCATACAACTAAATGGCGACACCAAAATATTTTCGAACATTTACCACAGATTATTAGTCAAGCAAAATGCCTTGCGCAGTAATGATCTCAAAACGATATCAAGTTAGTACTGAGGAGCTTTTCATTCACTCAATTAATACTGTAGAATTTTTTTGTTTGAGTGAGCCAAGCACACTTTGGACCAATCAAGATTTTCTGGCGTTAGGTTTAAGACTTTTCAGGAAATAGTTAGTGATGAACACAAGCTCTGAAAACGCAGGAAATTTATCGCCATGCAAAAGGGGGAAGGATTCACATCCTTAACTCAAGCTTTACCTATCAACTAATCGCTGCAAGAGAAAAATAATATTTTTCAAGGGCGAAGAATTTTGAACTAAATTCCGCATCTAAAGTTGTTTCTATTTTTTTTTCCGCTTACAGAAATTTGTAAGCTCGGTACCTGCGTCACTTTTGTATAACTAACTTCAAACTACTTTTATTCCAGCTCGGTTGCGCTCAAAAATAAAGACTACAAAAATCTGTCTTCCCTACTCGTTTTTTCCGTTATCTCTTTAAATACGAGATTTATGTCATTTTAGGCCATAAAGTGGGAAAAGAAGGTGGAATTTGAATGCAATGCCAGAATAAAATGCAAAGTAATGATTCCAGCGAAAAATCTCTCCGACTCTATCTTAGTGATAATGGTCTCCTGTTCGTTGTAAAGAAAGGCTTTAAAAATAATTCTTCCAACACATACCTGAACCTCCGTGGCCCGAAGTAGGGCCGGTGTTGGACGATGGGGTGGAACCAGATCTCGATGTCCAGTCAAAATTATCTGATTTATCCTGAGTCCAGCCAGAACACATACCACTTTCAAAGTTACAAGAGGATGCTGCATAGGAATTTGAACAATGAAATCTTTTTCTCTAAATATTATTTACTCTAGCAAAGATTATATGAAAACCGAGTGTGTGAAAACATAGCGAAAAAAGTATAACTTCTTACGAGGTATTCGTTTCTTAATGTGTGTTGGGGTTTATCGTTGTTTAAATGTTCTGTAAGGCTTTTGAAAAATTAAGCAGGAATTATATGAGAATGGTAGATTATGTTTCTTGACTTTCTGTGCTTTCTGTAACACAAATAGATTGAGTAAATATAACAAAATTTATACAACCTGAAGACGGAGGAGGAGGAGAAGCGGTGGCAGGCGTCGTTGGGCCTTTTGAAGAAAAAAAAGTATATAAAGGCTTTTTCTGAAATCATATTTCTATCGTTATTGATAAGAAATATTCTAACACGAATTAAAACATAACTATATAACCATAAGAGGTAATGGTATAGATAGCACTAACAGCAATAAGTGACGTGAAAACACATTAAAAGGTCAGCTTTTTTTACTTTATGTTATCAAGTATATTTGTCTCATTACCAGGTCCTCCTGAACATTTGTACATCAAGTTCATTTGTCGAATGTCAATTGGACTGAGTCCATTACGCTGACCAATTGTTACCTAGAATTGAAAAGTTTGTCATAGATGTCGAGAGACTGAGACGTAGACCACAGGTTTTATAATGAGGCTTAAAGTAAGAAATTAAGGAAGATGAACCACGGTTGATCAAAATGTACAAGTGCTTAAGCAGTTCTATCACCAAAACAGAATAGGGACGCTTGTTGGAAGGAGGGCGCTAAATCGAATTATTACGGTTCACAACTGATAAAACGAAACCTCAAAATTTAATAGAGTAAAAATAGAGCTTTACGAGATCAGTGAGAGGGTGGGCGTCAAATTCTCTGGATAGAATACAAAAGTCTTGCCAACGAGACCGCGACATAAATGACGAGCTCTCCTCAGTTCTGATGGCTTATTTATAATTTTCATGATTAATTTTTGAAGTTCGAGCATGTTCAGTTTACTAGTTACAGAAAGGAGGAATAGTAACTTTCTAATTTGAACGACTTTCAATGAGAAGTATGATTAGGTATAAATGTTTTACATACCCCTGATCTCTTGGGCACTATTGTAGGTTGACCATTCTTGGAGAAGTATTTTGCTCCGTAATGCATCACAGATCCATAATCATATGGCGTCCCCAATGTGTCGATGACACTTGATGTGTATTTCTTAAAATTGTTTTTGGCAGCTTTCGGAGAGAAAAAAAATTAGTCTTCGATGAGGTATTGTATTTAATTACTCATGAAATGTTTATCCTCAGTCTGTTACTTAAATTCTACTTTCTTCTTGGGCATTTGATTTTTGTTTGTTTTTTTTGCTACTCGAGTTGCAATTTGCGAAACGCTTTAGCTTGAGTTAGCTTGAATCGTAAGCAATCATTAAGAATGGTTTGATATCGATAAAGCTGATTCACTAAAGGAGCTACGTACACCCTGAAAACTGCGAGCATAATATTTTAGATTGTTATTTGCATCCTGAGTTAACCTTTTCCAGCCTTACCAAACATGGTTGCCTACACAAGTTTGTTTTAGCGTTTTTACCGACCTGGCCTTCGTATGTATGATTTTCGCATTTCATTCCACTGTTATAGCTGCTTCAATCGATCCAAAGTGTAACTCAAATATGATTTGCAATCCTTGTTCATATCTTCCACCCCTGATCATTCTTTACTCCTTTTTCAGAAACCCAAATACTCACAATCTTGAATGTTTTGATATTTGATGGTTACGAAGTTATCTCTGTCAGGTCGTGATTGTTCATGAAACCAGCCTAAGGCATGCCCTGTGCGAAAAAATTCAGAATAAAATTGGTTAACCCGTTTGACTTCAACGCAGAAAGTATCAAAAAGGAAGATTGTCACACTCAGACTCAAGCTAAACCGGTTGAACCTTAATGAAGGTTTGTACTTCCTTTCCTAGCGTCATTTTCCCCGCCCCTCCTACCCATCCCTCGAATGCTCTCTTGTATAATAAATCTGGCCCCGGCGTTCTCTCTTGTCCATACTAACAAAGTGTAGTTTTGAAAGTTAAAAAATGAAAGAGTCTTTTTCAGTTCCGTGGTAGCTTGATCGCTGTGGGCACCAGGCTTACAGAGCCGACAAAGCATCAAGATTAACTTTTCAGCTAATCTTGTTGGAAACATGTTCGTTCAAGGAGGCTGCGGAAATAAAGCTTAACCAGTTCTTGGATCTTTTGATTAAAAGTATTACTGAACGGATAATCCAGAATATTTTCGTCTAATAAAATGCTTTCTTTTTGTTGAACATGGCTTTGAATTCAGTTGATTATTTTTTTCTCAAGGGTGGGGTATGGAGGGGGGGAAGCGAAACTCACCTATTTCGTGTACAACTATTCCCTTGTGCCAACATCCGGAGGCAAGAGATAATTGTTGCTTTCTACCAGTTCTTCCAACATAAGACCAGCAACTGAAGAAAGAGTTAATGATTTAAAATCGCAGCAAAATTTTCATAAGTTGACGATGGTGGAAAAAGAAACTTAGGAATTTTTTGGCGTAATGTTAAACTTTACCCTGATCCCCTGAAGAAGGAAACGTAGCTAGTTTCAGTGGTCCTCTTCTTAAACTTGATGCACGTATTCTTGGTGTAATCAGCAAATGCCTGATTTATGACTTGCATGGCTCTCCCCTGAGATGCTGATCAAAAGAAGGGGGAAATTTTTCTGTTACAATAACTGGTTACGGAGTTTCGCTAACTCTACGAGAAAAACGATCAGCACAGAGACGTCAATGCTTTTCCTTTACGAGGTCATCTTAGGAACAAGTTTACTTCAGTGCCATTCTCTCGAAAACTGAGTCTGGAAAAACAGCGATAGGATGACTTTCGTCACAAGCATACTCGCGTGAGCAACTACATAAACGTAAAAGTTATATGCTCGAAACTCTTCATTTTCTTCTCGCCCATCTACCTTTCGGTATTTTAAAAACTTAAAATCTGAAGATGCACCCCTCAAATATCATGTTTTTATAAATCCTCTGGGCCGAAAAACCCGATCTACTTTTCACAGGATCAAATAAACAAGTATGGTTTGTATGTCACGCAGAAAAGTGACTTGACACATTTTCTAGAAGTTTTCAAATGGGACTTACAAAGGGAACTTGTGATCTCGTACACCAGAACTCCGTTAGGCCATCTGTTGTTCTTTATCGATCCTCTAGATTTTCCATTCATAACAGCTCTTTGATTTTTAGTCAATTTTATATCACCATCGACGAGTCTTTTTCTGGTTCGACCTATACCATGATTTTCTGCGAAGAAATGCTCAAGAAGTTACGTTGATCTTATTGAGAACTTATTTTTGCCTTGGGATAAAAATATTTAAAGTTTGACTTACAAAGAGATATTTAGACAACTCCAGTACCCTGCCTACTATTTCGAGAATACAACTGCTGTGAAAATGGAATTGTTCTTTCGACATCGCTCAGGGTTGTGAAGGGACCAGGGAAGGGCAAAAATCTCGGATAGCAAAAATTCCCTAAGGATTGAAATTATGATTAAAAAGCCAGGTTCAAGTTTGAGCTTGTATTTGAGAGAAATGGCAAAATGTTTCTTTCTCGCGAGTATTTGTGTGTTTCCGATTTGGAAATAAATTTAACTTGCAGTATAGAGCTATCACTGGTAAAAGTTTCTAAAATAAATAATCAAAAGGAGAAGACTAACATAAAATGGTTATTGATTTACCTTCCGGATTTGGTCTTGAAGATAAAACTTCCCCAGCAATCAAACAGCACAAGACAGCGAATACCCTCATCTTGCTGAAACCTGAAGATGTGATTGTCAAGAGTTCTTGGCTCCTTTTATGATGAATCCTACACCTTCGAAATTTACCCTGTGTAAACTTAAAAGTTGCAGCTGTCTGAAATATAAATCACAGCTGTCTGGAGAGTAAATACTTCCGACTGTGCTTCATGGTAATGAAGGTAATTACTTTGTTAGAAAACCTCACAAACACCGGCGACTTCAGCTATTTAGTTCATGTTTATACGCAATTAACACTAAAAAGATATTGAAAATAGCAGCTTTCCTCTTTCGTTTTCTTTTGATCTTCGCCGAATGACTGAACAGTTATCTCGCGCGAGTACAGATACCTATTTCGCATTTCCTCTGAGCTAAGCTGAAGAAGATATGTGGATTTTGGAAGAGCTATGGAAACAAATTGGCTGAAATTAAAACTAAGAAATGCCATTATCAATCCCTATTGATTAAAATATTGAGAACAGTTACATGCATTCACCACAAAGATTTCAGTGAAATATTCAGGTAGCAGCTCTGTTTTAATTTACAGTTTTTTTCAGTTTCTTGACTTAGATTCTGAGCATTTTTATTTTCTTTTCCATATTGTTCATATTGTTTAAATTGGGTTCATATTGTTTAAATTGCCGATTTGCAAAATGATATCACAGCCGTCAGAGTCAATTAGGTGTATTCTTATGTCTATAAAAGATAACATGGTCTTAATAACTCCTCTATCATCGACATTCAATGTTAGTAAATACTCTATTCAATTCGCGGATCATTCGCTTAAACACGTAAACGCGTTAACAATCCTCTGAGGTATGTGGTATGAATGTGGGAGTAATTGGTGTAGGAGGTCGTCCCATGCAAAATAGGGTAACACGCTTAAGATTTTGCCACCTCGAAAGTTTCCTTTGTCAATTACTCTGATATTATTTGAATCAACAAACAAGTTATTCCAACATGCTGCAAGATAGAGAAAGATGTTTTTCGTCTTGTCACGAGCGTGGGACAAAGAAAAAATTCTGAGCCGCCCCGAGGAATCAAACCTCAGACAGTCGGATTCCGCGCTTCAATGCTCTACCACTGAGCCACAGAGAGTCCACGGTGAGTGAGGTCTATTACGAAGTTCATACGACACGCGTCTTGCATACTGCTAGGATCAGCAATGTCGACAGCGTATTGTTTGTAGATAGAAATAAGAGAGATGGTAAGTTTTGAGCACGGTAAAGAAATAGAGAAAGATTTTTTTTTCGTCTTGTCACGAGCGTGGGACAAAGAAAAAATTCTGATTTCCCAGGAGGAATCGAATATTAAAATATTTTGCATGTTTTCCTTTCCAAATGGTTTGTATTTTACTCTTAGTTATAATATTCCTCTTCCTATTGCACAGTGAATATGGACATTATCTGTATTCATAAATACAGTAATTTTGATTCAATAAGTTCAGCCTTGCCTCATGGAATGAAATTCTAGTTCTTTCGATTCTTATTCTAATTGAATAATTGTTATGTTAAAAGCTAAATTCAGTTCTAACTTGTACAATAATCAAATACACTTGACCTTGCTAATCGTCAAGGCATGTTACAACTCGTACTTGAAAGTTTAACTTTGTCAACAATGTTATCGAACAACTGTGATAATTTAAGTATCGATAAAACTCATAATGGTTCTAGATCTAAGTATATTCAATTTATATCATATTCGTGGAACGTTTGATTTAGAATAAACACAAAAAAATTGTCGTGTTAGTCAAGTCCTGACTACACTTATTGATAAAAATATAAAGTTTATAGGGGACTTCAATCAAACGGCGAGAGACGTGTTTTTCTTTTGTATCCGAAGAAGTCGTTTTCGTCAAGACATAATTCGCCTTAGAGTCGAAGTTTTATGATTTTCAGTCTAGGTACAGCAATTTTAAATGGTATCAGAAGCCACAATTTCGCAAGCGCCTAACGATCACAGGCTCGATCGCTTCGCGTTAAGCCCTAGTGCAAATTCCTTCCCCTTCCTTACCTCCCTTACGCAAACTTTTGCGTGTTTTGTCTAGTGTCTGTATTGTTGAAAATCAGAGATATGAAATCAGAAATATGAATATCCTCTAGTTTTAACCTTCAATCAAACTTTCGAAATCTAATGAGTTTGCCGATATGTAGGTCATCAGAATATTATTTCAAATTTGCATGGTTAAAGCTTTCACTTTCTTACTTTGGAATACTTGAAAAAAACAAACAAAGAATAGCCAAGAAAATTGTCAAACCTCTGCTAGAGAACCATCAACGAAGAAAACTGTCTCAATTCTTCAGCATTAATTTGGTTCTTTCCTTGGTTTCAACGCGCTGAGATCGGTTCCTACTCCTCAAACTTTCTTAACACTGACAACATTTATAGTCCCATACATCACGAGGTGCACGGTCCCTTGATGAAAGAAGGCAAAACAATAGATAATTACCCTTTAGACTCACGCTCTGTTTTTAAAAGTTCACAGATTTTAAGGCAAGGCTTACGTAACGTAACAAAAATCAACGACTTAAGAAAAACTGGAAGTGTTGCCTTATTGTTTCTAGCCCCTTGAAGACAGTTGCACTCCGGATCTGAAAAAATTTTATTATAACAGGTTCGTTCTTACAAAATGGCATTCCACATAAAAGATGGGAATGTGTAGTTTTCCAGCGTTAAGTCCAACTTGAGCCCCTATCAAAAATTCTCTATCTTAACAACTTTACAAGCTGGACATATTCAGCCTACATTTTTATAGCGAAATTTACGTTTTTCAAGAAACAAAGAAGTGTGAAGGAAAACGCCCAAAGTGTGGGTGGTGAGGCCGAGTTTCGGTAACAGCAGGGTTGTCCTTGGGTTTTCCTCCATTTTGGTCTATCTTTTACTCGTTTTTTTTATCTTATTTTTTTATTGGCTTATTTTTGTTGGTCTTACAGACAAGTACTGTTGAAAATTTATCATAACCAGTCTGTTATATGTTTCCCACAGAGAAATAGTGTGTCGTAAACCTTAACAGTTTGCTTAACTGAGAATGCTGCCAGACTCAAAAACTCGCAGTCTTGTGTAAATCAGCGGTCATTTGATCTTTCTTTTTCTATTTCGTTAATCCGCTCTTTCTAATCGAAAGTCGGCTTGTTATGTTACATCATGCATAGATTTTACCAGTATTTCAAGATGGTGCCGGTGGGTTACTGAATTCTTGAATCAAACTGGCCTGTCTTGATTTTCACAAAATTTTATTTACTTCTATTTACCTCAAAAATGAACCTCTAGCGGCTAAAGCGTTCAGAATTTACATAGATCTTATTTGAAGGAGATAAGTGACACTTTGTTAGCGAGTGCAAACCGTATTTTTCTCTGTTGCGATTGATGACATATGTCTTCAAATGGCCGCCATCACGAACATCCTAACTAACATCTCTACATCTTTGCTGTGATATTTTGTTTCGGCTACTCTCCCAACATTTTGTTTAGATTCTGTGATCTGCCAAATTTTTCCTTCAATATGTAGTTTCTTTAACAAAGTCATGCTGCCTAGCACCTTTCAGAAACGGCATTACCCTTCCTACATTTACATGAAAGCTGAACCTTTTTTTGGCCATTTTCACATCTACTCCGATGATAAGGTACATAACAAATGCCGTATATGACGTAGTAACTGGATATAGTTACCAGTTTCCACTCAAAATCTTTGCGCCTGTGAGTTCCCGATTGTATTGGACTGGCAAACAAAATGGCTCTTCGAAACCTTTGTAAACTTCAAGTAAACTGTAGTAAGTTATCACTAATGATATCTAGAAAGATCACACGTTAAGATTATGACTACATAATCTCTATTCTCGTTTGCAGATTACTTGTCGCCTTTGCGTATTTCGACGCAGACACGGACCCATGTCAGCTCGATCAACCGTTCCCTTTTCGCACCGCAAAGTTGTAACTTTGGTAGTTCGTCTCGACTTTCATGTCTTGGAGTAGCCCAGCAGATGGGTGAAAGGTAATTTCTGGAATAAGCCGTTGGTATTAAATTTGATAGTAAAGTGAAATTGCGATAATTGATTCGAACGTTGCATGGCTATGATTACGTAAGAGATCTTCCGTGACGCTACTTTCTCCATTCGGTATGTTTAGAAGGAAAATTCTTTAAGGCCTCTGGGCGAAAAAGCGTTTCGATAATTGCAGCGGAATTTTTTTTTTCCGTCAAAATGTATTCAAACTTTTAAACCAGGACCATGATTCAAACTTGACACTTACTACGTTAACGAATGATTCCCCGAACACCATAAGGCTTATTCTAATCTCAGTTTAGATGCAGTCACTTTTAACCCTTTCACTCCCACAAGTGACCAAGACAGAATTTCTCCTTACAATATCAATACAATTTTAAGCAGGTAGGTGATGAGAATAGAGAAGAATATCAATTATGGGATTATTAGTTGATCCAATACCAAATTCTCTGGACTAACATCATAAGAATTGTAAGGCAGATAGTAAGGAGAATTACTAATTAGACCTTGGGAGTGAAAGGGTTAAACTGTCGCTAAGTATGAAACCTATCCTATAAAGAAAAGTTTAATTGGTTACAGTCGTTTCGTACCGACCGTTGTTTCCAATTTGGTCGACTCGTACCTTTTCAGTTGAGTTGTCTCATGCCCACTCTAATAAAGTATGTTTTCTGTGTTCAGTATGTTTAAAGTGAGAATAGAACAAACGAATAAACAAGAATAAACAAATTTTGTATGGTTTAAAACTAAGGGAGAAAAAAAGGATCACACTTTCACTAGCTGTCATCGTTAGGGAAGTCAAGAGTAGAAACTGGGACTGTTCAATGAAAACTCACATACCTTGTGCTAGACAGTGATTTAGTGTTTTTGTTGAAAAAAGTCTCAAGTATACACAACAGAATTTTCCTTATATCTCAAATGCTTGACTCTTCTAACTTGTGGTATGCTTGTTGTACACAACAATCAACATTTGCTGACATGCACTCGCACATGAGGTATTTTGAATGATGGTATATTGGATGGGTCTCTGAACTGACTCAAGCTGACTACAAAGCAACTGAAGTTGGGTTTGAAACCACTGGGTGCAAAATGACTGAGTAAAAAAATTACTGGATAAGAAATAAAGCAGATATTCATACTATCATCTTTACATTAATGGGGTTTTTTTTTAATGGTGGCATTGGGCACTCAGTAATGGTCTTTTAAATCAACCTTGGTTATAGCCTGAATGTGTCTTTGAGAGGAATGTGGAATGATATAAAATTTTTTCTAACACAAATTCTTCCATTTGATATATAACCTCTTTATATTCTTGTGTAATGAATTGTTTTGGTATGTGTATAATAGTTCAGAATTTTCCTGTGATTTTAAGGGGGCTATATTTATAGCTACTCGTTCTCGTTATTAATAATTTGTATCTTAAATGTGCAATTTACTATGTTTTGGATAGTTCTGAGCAAGCCAACTTGAAACCAAAAACAGGAATAATGCTTCTGAATATGGGTGGCCCAGAGACAACAAATGAGGTTCATGATTTTCTCTTGCGACTTTTTTCTGATCGTGACCTTATGGTTTTACCTGCTCAAAGGTTTGTAAAGCAATCTTTTGGTCTAGTTAGTTAAGTTTTAAACATCTGTTTAGCAAACAGTAGTGCATGTAATAAGAAAAAAAAATGACTAAATAAATACATTTGAGTAAGTAATGAAAGAAATATATTATAACTTAGAATTATGATGAAATGTGAATAGTTACTGTTAGTAATTGTTTTTTCTCTCTCTGTTTTAAGTATTTCTGTTAGTTTTTAAATTGTTACAATAGCTCCCTGAAGCTCTCATGAGTGACTAAGACAGAATTTCTCCTGACAATATCTAGCAGACAGGTGATGAGATCAAAGACACAGATCAATTAGGGGATTTCTAGTTGATTGAACACCAAATTTTCCAAACTAGCATAAGAAGAATTGAATGGCAGACAGTAAGAAGAATTAATAATGAGATCTTATTAGTGAAAGGGATAAACATGCAGCACTTTGAGAAAATAGAGTAGTACATGTATCCTTTACAGGCACAAATCCACATATTTATTTTTGACAGTTTACTTACAACATTCCTATATCATACACAGTAAGATGGCTCAATGGATTGCTAGGAGAAGAACCCCTAAAATCCAGGAACAGTATCAAAAGATCGGTGGTGGCTCTCCTATCAAAATGTGGACAGAAAAGCAAGGAGAGGGAATGATAAAACTGCTTGATGACATGTGCCCTGATTCAGGTACATGTACAGGTGTATGATCATGTTTCATGAAAAGTATGTTGTGATTCAAATCCTTTCTGCATTTATAAAATTTTCAAAGTTTGAATTTTTGCTCATAGGGTGAGTACAAATTGTAGTCTTAAAAAAATCTACAAGTGCTTATCTATATTAAATTACACGAGAACTCATGTATTACTTTTAAATAATTTACATAAAAAGAACATCACAGAAAGTCGATACAAATGAAATTTTAACAGTAATTTACTCTCTTTTACAACTTTGCACCTGTTACAAATTTGCAGTCATCTTGCATGAAGAATTAACTTGCCTCCAGCCAATCAGAAGCATGTCATTTTTTCATGTATATTATTAGATAAAGAACAGTGAATCCTTAATTTACAGAAGTAACTATTACATGTACATGTATGTATCTTCTTATTCAGCTCCTCACAAGTTTTACATTGGATTCCGTTATGTGAAACCTTTAACCGAGGACACTTTGGATCAGATGGAAAGGTAGTTCAGTTTTGAAATGTTTTTGTTGCACACAATGATCCATCTCTTGAACAATTACATATCTTAAGCATTTATCAGTGGAACTAAACACTGTTTCTAGGAGAGGGAAAATTGAAGAACTTACCAAAAAATAATAAGTCCTGAAATTATATTTTACTGTATATATACAATCATTTGGTCTCTAAAGTGCATCTATCCTACAAGGGAGTAAGATTTTGGCAAAAAAATTCCTTCATGGGAAACATGAAAAATACAAAAGTGAGCAGGTCGATAATTTTACCCAACCCTGGAGGTAGCCTTTTTGGCACATGTCAAATTCTTGTCCTTTCCTGTTCTCTCGATTTAATCAGTGATGGAATAGAAAGAGCTGTGGCATTCACTCAGTATCCTCAGTACTCCTGTTCTACCACTGGAAGCAGTTTAAATGCAATCTACAGACATTACAAGCAAAAGGGAGAAAAGCCTGGAATCAAATGGAGTGTCATAGACAGATGGCCTACTCATCCAGGGCTTGTTCAGGTATTTGTGGGATTCTCCTCACATGTTACCACATCTTGCTTCTTCAGATTGATTTGTTGAGTTTCACTGTGTTATTCAATTATTGGAATGTTTTAGTAGTTTTTCATGGTAATTAAATACTTTTTTGGGTTAATTTTTTCTTTTCATTGTTTGTTATTCATGGCAATTTTTAATGATTTGGGATTAAAGAGTTTGTTGTTGTTGTGATTTGCTTCTTTGTTGAAGGCCTTTGCAGAAAATGTCCGAGCTGAGTTAGCAAAGTTTCCTGCTGATGTTCAGAATGAAGTGGTTATTCTGTTTTCTGCACACTCTCTTCCAATGAAGGTATGTTGTGGCTAAGTTAATCTATTATTTTTATGTCCAAGCTACATTGTAAGTTAAATTAATTGGTTTTGAAACAAGTACATATCAAATGATTTCAAAAATTAAATTACAACACATTACAACCATGTCAAAGTGGTTTTTGGTTCCTGAAATGTCTATATCGGTATATATAAATAATATCCTAGATTTTCATTTAAGTTACAGTACATTTTCTCAGGTATTTGTCACGGGCAATTCTTGTTGTGAGAAGATAATGGATTTTAATGAGTGTGGCTTGTTTGAAGGGTTAGCTACAAGGAACAGATAATACCCAAGGACAATTTTATACAATTTTGTAATCCTTCCAATATTTTTGCTCACACATGATTGTTATTAACTTGTTGCATGACTGCTGCTGCTAAAACTGGGGAATATCTAGTGATATTGTGTAATACTCAAAATTTTCAAATCCCTACGTACAATACAGTTTAAGTCTCTGAAACTTGCAGTTTTCCTTGAGCTGATTTTTCAGTCTTTCTGCAACTTTTTGAGCAAACAAGCTTTCATTTCTTTTGTATTGACAACAACACACACTTTAAATTCAACTTTGTACTTTGTAATATCAGAACTGAAGATGACAGAAGAACTCTCGAAACAAAGAAAGTGTCATTTATTTTCTTAAATTTGTTACATATCTGCTGCTTTCAAGACCTTTTGTTACAAAACCCTTAGACCAACTCAAATTTTGAACAAAAAATCTCTTCTTATTGAAGTCAAGGATACAAATTGGGGAACGGCACTTTCAAAATATCACCAAATATTCGCTAGTGTTGGGCATGTTGTATTCTGTCACTTCATTCCTCTTGAGTAGTCAATTGGCCAAGAATGTTAGAATTCATCATCAGGGTCATGTGAGAAGTTGACTTGTCAGTCAAGTTTTATGAGTTTGGCTCATGTAAATGGATTGGTCAGTTAGTCAGGAAGCTATATAAATCGATAATGATGATAATAATAATAATGATGATAATAATAATAATAATAATAATAATAATAATAATACTAATAACAATGATAATAATAGTACAAATAATGATGATGGTAATGATCACTTTAGTAATCACTGCACTGACCAGAATCTCTTTTGTGTGGTAGGTTGTGGATAGAGGTGACCCATATCCTCAAGAAGTTGCTGCTACAGTACAGAGGGTGATGGAATCATTGAACTACTCCCATCCATACAGACTTGTTTGGCAGTCAAAGGCGAGTGCCTCTTGTAGATAATACAATTAGCTTAGTGGTCCTATTTGACCTTCTGCAGGCTTGAATTTGCTAATTTAAGACAGCTGCGTTGTTATGTTGGATTATAGGGCTCTTAGATTTTAAAAGTTGACAGAATTACATGTTTGAAAAGCACCGTAACATCTTTGCAATGCGTTTGATATTGTTCGCACTTGATGTACGAAAAGTTACTGTCAAAACAAGTTGCAATAGTTATCCTTTTTCTTTAATCCTGTTTATTATTTTTCTGCAGGTAGGTCCCATGCCATGGTTGGGTCCTCAGACAGAAGATTCCATTAAGGGCCTCGCAAAGAAAGGGAAAAAGAACATCCTTCTGGTTCCCATCGCTTTCACCTCTGACCATATTGAGACACTTCATGAGCTGGATATAGAGTATGCAGAGGAGGTGGCACACGAGGTAATGTTCACTATTCTGGTGCCAAGGGTAAATAAAGCCTTTTGTTAAAGGGAGTACATTGTTCTTTTCGTTGCGGCACGAGCGGTAAAGCATGGCATTTCAACGGGCGAGCGATTTGAGCGCGTAAGAGGTATGTAAAGGTTTTAGAATTTTGAGTGCCACATCCCTCTCCGACTTGTCAGCGACGGGTTTACTCGGAAAGCCGTCATGAGTTTGCAGCTTTCGAAACAAATCGATGACACACGCTGTTGAGACAAGTCGCAACGGTTATTAGTCCTTTTCCACTGAAAATGTTTATGAAAATCATTTATCTCTTTGACAGAAATTTTACCAGGCCCTTATTTCAGCGACTAAGTGATGTCGCAGATGCAAAGATTTCCACAGAAATTCTTTATGTCAGATGAGGCGAATTGTTGCTGCGATTTTTTGCTCTAATGCAGGATGTTCCCTTAAAAACCAATATAAACATGTTTAAGTTAACTTAATCAAAGCGGACTATTCTTTTTAGTGTCCAAGGTAATCTATATCGTACTCACGCAGGCGGAGAAAGATTGAATTTACTCTTATGATATGATTCTGGATCTTATAGGTTGGTATCGAGAATATCCGAAGAGCAGCTTCACTGAATGATAGTCCAACTTTTATCAAGGTTAGTGCGTTGATTGATACCTTGTTTCGTTTTGTTTTCTACTATTTTTTAATTTTTTTTCTTTTCGAGTGATTGATCAACCTCTATCTGTCCTTCCACGTTTTGAGATCTGATAAAAACTCTTGTTCTTTCTCTTTTTGTTGATAATTCTTCCAAGAACATGCCAGTTTCGCAGCCATTGATCTATTTAAATTGTGTTGTATGAATTGTTTAAGTCAAAGTGTTCAAATCATCCAGTCATCATTTACATCACTTTCGTCTGTCCCAAAGTTATGGAGAGGTTCAACTCAAAATGTTTGGAGTTTTTTGAACGAGTGTATCACGAAAGAAATCCGATATTTTAGCGTGGCCTTACAGTATTGCGGCAATCATTGAATGTCTCTTATTTTTCTTTGCAGGCGATGGCTGATGTCGTAAAAGCTCATTTGGATTCAGGAGTCAATTGTTCTCGCCAGCTTCCTCTTCGTTGCCCGATGTGTGTGAATCCTACCTGTGGCTTAGCCAAAGAATTTTTCCTCAACCGCACGTTGTAAACTGCGCTCAAAGATAAAGGAAAGGGCTATAAAATTGCTTAAACAACGCAAATGTTACGTTGATTCCAACTAGACTCTCGATCTGAACTTGAAGCCTAAGGTTAATTCGAAATATCTTCATCCAGTTTCAACAATGCATGGATCCCTTTCACTTAGGGAAGCTAGCTCCGGTTTTAAGTTTTATATCTGGCCTTTATTTGAGGGCCCAGTTTTTCACAGGCTGATAACATATCCAGCGGATAAACCGCTATCCAGCGGATAAATCGCTATCCAGTGGATAAATCGCTATCCAGCGGATAAATCGCTATCCAACGGATTTAGCTAAACGAACTTCGCTATCCACTGCATAGTCATAGAGATTTATCCGATGGATAGCGTTTTGTACCCTTCAAACAGCCGGATTTGATTCCCAATAATTTTTGTTGAAACCGTTTGTAACCCCCAGTATCCTCAACCCTGTTTGTGGTGTTAGTAATTAAGGGAAATCCTGGTCAAATTTCGTCACAAGTTTTCGTTGGCTTAAATCCTGATGCTTGTACGCGAAGGAATTTTGAGGAAAACCAATACAAATTAGAAGTGTGCTGATTACGAAACTTGTCATTTCACAATCTTCTCTTCACGGTATGTGATTAGGTAGCCTTTTTTCATGAATCAATTTGAAGAACAAATGAATACCATGAATACCAAGTGCAGCTGTAGATTAGCTATTGGATTGTTTACTCCGTTGATATGTTTTGTTTGACAAGTGAAAGCATTATTCTGTCGTTTGTGCTGTTTCAGATTTTATTGCCTAGGTCCTTTATCTTTGAGTTGCCGCCGGGGCGGCTGCCTTTTATGCCAGGCTCAAAACCAAGAAATTTAGACATCAGAATAGGAGAATTATTTTAGAAACAAGAAATAATATGCTCGAAATAAAAGGCATATGAAACGAAGTGATGTTTTCGAGTTCTGTCTTCTAAAGCCGCCCTTTCCACCTCGAAGGAAAAAGGATTCAAGTTGAATCAAACCATACCACGACTGAAGTGAAACACTGAATACGCAATTCTTCAAGGTACTCAGGTCAGGTGTCCGATTAGAAACGTCACAGTGAGGTTAGGACATCTTCACTCCTGGTTGGGTGCGTGGAGCAATAACCTTGGACCTCCGACGGACTCAATATTTCGCAGTTTTCTTTATCTCCTTCCAGGAGATTTTACTCTCAGCGAGCTCTTCATAATGTCATCTTAACGTAGTGAAAGTAGCATTTAATTTATTTCTGTAAAATTTAGGTGTCACTTGTGCATTTGTCGCTGAGATTTGAAATTGTTCATATTCGGATTTTATCAAACACCTTAGAAAATCATCGCGAGTCCTGATAAGAATGGCACAGCTGTGCAAATGAAAGGGAAGGCCATCAAGCCGTAACAATACAAGAGGAGCACTTTGTTATCAGCATTCGATATAGATTGAGGAAAGTTAACATAACATCAGGTCCTCCCACTTCTTATTTACATCCCCAACCATAATACAAACGGTGTAATCAATTATCAAAATGACAGCTAAATGATTAAAGCGGTGCCGGTGACCTGAGCTCTAACGCCCACTTGAAATTCCATGTCTGTTATAGTATCGGTCCATTTGATGCTGTTATTAAGCTGTCAATAATTTTTTTCCTTGAAAATACGAGCTAGCACGATTTTTCGACCTTGCAAGTGTTAATCCCTTTTTACCATTAATTTCCACTCTTATGAGGTATTTCGGTCTTCATTCTGTTTGTTACTGATTTCTAAAACAGTCAGTTTGCGTGGTTTATCTGAACCGTTGAGAAACGAGCCTACATTATAGAGATCACTACACCTTTTTGTGTTCAATGGAGGTGTAAGTACGGTTGAAATTCATCTTGCACACTGTTCTATTAACACTAATGAAGAAGACAATACCCTAAAGTCGTAGCCAAAACGACACTCTTTTCCTTAACCACAGAGCAAATGTTTCATATTTTAGTGTAGACATTTATTACACAGTTTCCCTCACTTCGCATTTATGAATTGCCGTGACTCATCACGCGTCTATGCATGGTACGTTTTAGAGGCCTAAGACAGAAAGTTGAAAGCTTACAATTTAAATGAATTTTGACCAGGGAAAGATTTTGTGCAAGATAATATTTTAAATTCAGAATATGTCTCTTAAAGACTCCAGCTGGCAAACCCAATCGCTATTCGCGCATACAATGGCAACAGACGACTTTTTGTTTAGCGAATAGCTTAAAGTCACTTGTCGCTAAAGGCTCTCTTTTGGTTACCGATGAAGGAGTAATTCGAGAGACTTGTTTAATCAGTTATTGCCTCTACCGAAGTTACTTCTGTCTCATGAAATTAATTTTTTACCTTAACAGATGATAAATTATCTCTTAAAAGTGATCCGTTTTTTTTCCTTACACAATAACATTTGCACTTACTTTGGTCGTAAATAAAAAACTGCAAGGCCAATTTGTTGAACAAACGCATTAGCTCTTAGACTAGTGCTGCTGTTTTATTTGAAGTACAATTTGGTATAACAAGGGAACAAAGAAACAGGAAAAGAATCTCATTTTTAAAAGCTAGAGAAGATCACAAATCGAAGAGCTACGGTTTTTCAGACTGACTTGTTGTGTCTATCCTGTGAACAGGAGACCTGGCTTCCTTTGTCAACTATGAGAAGTAATTCAACCTCCTCATTATGGTTTTAGCGTTTGTGCTTTGATTAAATTAAAAATTAAATGACTGCTTTTTTTCTTGTTAATATTGCGCAGCCAGAACAATGCATTCTACCAAAATAATGAAATAAGATAACTTCTCGTCTAAAAAGCGGGCCACTTCTGTCCTAAAACCGAATTTATGAAGCTGGTCAGATATAATTAAATGGGTGTAAAGCAATGCTTATCATTTACAAAAGCGCATTTGAATTTTATTTACTTTGAATTCACAGAAATACCAGGGTGAAAAGGTTTAAAATTGCACTTAGAATCAGCTTTCAAAATCAAACATACTTCAACTTGTTATAACAATGAAAGTGTAACAGTCACAGCTGTCAATATAAAAACTCCTCGTAATGTATACAACCAGCATCTCTGTCATTTAACAAAATCAACTTAACTCAATTCTATTTAATCTAGTGAGCAGCTGGTAAGGCCGGTGTATGTAGGTATTAAAGAAAACTTTTTTCCTCCTTATTTCAACAATTAGAGACAGAAAAGGTTGGCAATTAAGTGTAAGTAGAAGCTTAATTGAGCTCTGTTTGGTCCACCATACAGCTGTACCTGTCGGCACGTAGGTAAATTAAAGAAAATTACTCTTCGCCAAATTTTAACGATAAACAAAGGGGTAGGGTAGCGTTAATGAATACCATTAAAAAGAACGAATATTTGTTCAATTTCCGCTCTCTCTAACCATAGGCGTTAAGTTTGATCTGTTAATGGCCTTCAATGATTAAAATTCATTTGAACGCAATGAAATAAATGTCCGTGAGCCAGAAAGCTTTTGCATTCGTCTTTGAACATCGCAAAATGATGTTCTTAGTTTTGTTACTGTTGGGGACGTCTGTTTCAGGTAAGGCTTAACGCTGACCTTCTCTGAATCGGTTATAGCTTCTCTCCATGTTAGAAAATGCGGTGAACTTTATGTATTAGCAATGCCTCACTTCGCTCCTAAAGTCTTCGTTTGCAAAGTTCTTTGTTTCCAACTTTTCTTCCTATCATGATCGTTGATATATAAATTACTTCATAGATGTCAAATTGATGATTCCCAAACGATATTAGAAGAGTTATTTAAATTAAATTGCCTTATTTTGATGAATTTTTGTTATTGACCTCACTCGATCGAGGATTTTCAAGTTTACGAGAACTCATAATCGGCGATATATTTGATTCTCTCCAACAAAACCTTCTGCTCCTTTAAGATGACTGAATTAATAGAATACACTGTTGTTTCACAACAGGACAACTCCAATGTGGCTTCACGCCCATCCCTCAATCACGTGTCATTGGAGGTCAAGATGCGAAGCCTGGGGCTTGGCCATGGCAGGTGTGATGTCATTGCCTCTGTTCAAATCTTCACAAGCTGTTTGTTTCTGCTTCTAGAGATCAGAGACTTCATCCCACAAAATAATGAAAACTGTTTAATCTTAAAAAGTTTGAACGTGTCTTGTTGGTTCTCATCAAGCTTTTATTATCCAGCTTGCAGACAGGGTCCCCTAAATTCCCTTCAACTGCGCGAATCGTATCCTTCCTGAAATTTTTTAAAACTTATTCTTAATTATTTTGATTGTTTGCCATTTAGATCGCATTACAACGATATGGCAGCTTCATCTGTGGAGGATCTCTCATTTCTGAAAATTGGGTAGTTACCGCTGCCCATTGTGTAGCAGGCAGCTCGTAAGTTTTTGCTCTTTTGCGCATGCCACAACTTTGACCGTTGTGTTACCAAATAAAGACATATCAACTCAATTGCAGACTCAAAAAATGACTGACAATTAACGTCGACTAATTAGCTTAAGTAATCAAAAGGAATAACCTGCCAAATGTAACTGACTGCCTTTTGAATCAACCAAAATAACCGACTACCATCCGAATGACCGACCGACGAATCAACCTTACGAGGATTTAATTAGCAACTCTTTGACCAAGCAGCCGAGCAAACTGCTGATGCATTATTCACTTTATACTACTTCTTTACCCAACAAGCGTATATTTGAGAGTCCAAAATAGTGCTTAGCTTCTCTATCGACTGCTAGTCAATTATAAGCATAAGTTACGATCATGAATGAACCTTGTATTGTATATTTGTAGAAATCCTGCCAATTACAGAATAGTTGTTGGTGATCACAATCGGAATGTGAACGAAGGAACAGAGGAGTCTGTTGGCGCCGCGCAAATCATTTCTCACCCTCAATACAATAGTCCCAGTCAACTTAACAATGACATCGCCCTGATTAAACTCTCTACGTCTGTGAAGCTCTCTGCCAGGGTGAACCCCGTGTGCCTACCGTCTAGCGACTCAAATGTACCCACAGGATCAAAATGTTACATTACAGGTGAGGGTGGTCATGAGAGGTCCGCTTGTTTTTAATATATAGACCATGCAAATCCCATGCAATAAAAATGGCCCAACTCCTCTGTCGTAAAGCAATAATTCACGGGCATTCCAGTTGAGGAGCTGACAAGCCGGCTCGCTTGAGGAAAAGCTTTGCCTTAGTACTTTTTAGGAAAACCCTTGCAACTTGTGGGTAATTCAGTAAGTTGTATATTCACTTATTTTACCTCGAAAGGATGTTTCGCTTCCAAATAACCGTCTTCCAGGTGTCTTTATTGGCGAGGAGTCATACACGTTCTAAAATTCTGCATTACGCTATACTGGGCTCAAAATTTTCTCAGGAGTTTCCTTCAGAAAGCACCACATAGGGGATAACAGAGGATGTTTCTTCAAATTGCAAACATGGTTGTTTCAACATTTTCGTGGTACTCATTATAAGTTCTTTTGCAGCTCTTTTCCTTCCTGTTTACCGACTTCGTTAATCAACAGATAAGAACACAACGGAGACCTTGAAATGTTATTGATGTAGGTATAATGTTATGAACTTGCCGCTTTGATAGGCTGGGGAAAGATTAAGCATCCAGGAGGATCTCATCCTATTTTACAACAAGCCATGATGCCGCCTATCGATCCAGCAAAGTGTAGGCAGAAGATTCAAGCAAGTGGAGGTACATCAGAAAGTCTATATTGTAGATTTTTCATAAGCATAACATTGTCTGTCTTTTGCTTATTAGGTCTGTCTTTAGGTTTACCTGCAGAATTTGTCCACGATATTTATCAAAACGACAAATATTCTCGTTTGTGATGAGAGTTTTAAGACAAAGACCAAGCGAACATTATACACTTAATCTGGCCGGCATGCTAAGACAATTCGACGAAGTACATTTTCTTCAACCCCAATTACCGTTTTTCAGCTGTTTAAAAAAACCGAATAAGATTGAAACGTTGGATCACTGACGGATCACTGAGTCAGAGTGGATTTTTTTCGTCGTTAATTTGGATTCCTCTTCCCGATGTACGAAAAAGTATAATAAGCTGCTCTTACCCGAATCAATTGATAATTTTTTTCTAACTGAAAATAAATTGGACCAGCTTATTTGAAGAGATGCTTTACTTTAACCGTACTTCAGTTCTTTATCAAACCTATTGTGGCCCGCTTAAATACGAAATCTTAAATTCTTAAATCCTATAACCGACTATTCTTTGGTGAACTCATCGATTGAGTCGAATTCTACTTAAATTTGAGTCACATCTGTCATAAAAATCGGCGTTTGAAACCACCTTTATTGCGTGGTGATAAAATCCAAAGCAATTCTGGGTTACCTTTCAATGCAAAATTCTTTCTTTTAGATCGTTCACGCTAACTTTGTATGTACTTATATTTTTGCAGTCTCAATAACGTTAACTCCGCAAATGTTGTGTGCGGGCGTGGACAATTCCATTTTAAGTGGTTGTCATGGTGATAGTGGAGGACCGTATGTGTGCTTGAATGCGGATGGGAATACATATACCTTACATGGTGCAGTCAGCTGGGGTTCTTCCAGATGCGATGCTAAACAACTTTTTACTGTGTTTGCCCGAGTGACACAGTACCGAGCGTGGATCAAACAGCACACTGGGATTAGTGGAGGAGGTAAGAAATAAGTTTTGTACCTTAATATCGTGATATCTAATCGCTGTGGTTATTCTTCGTGCTGGACTCATAGTAATGGGGCCGTATCAGACAAACGATTAAGTCCCACTTATACGATCAAGCAGTTTTGTCACATATCGTTTTGGTATGTTTGGTACGTAAGGCATGTTTGACCATCAATTTATGCTGCGCAACAAACTTGATTTTGGAAATGTTTGATCGTGCTCACTTCTGATCGATGTGGACATTTCAACTTACGTATCTTTAGTCGATCTAATCACTTAGAGATTATTAGCACTAACTTTAGAGTGCAGTTAAAACGTAGCGATTCACATTGGCCTTCTTTTATCAAGTATGTATTTTTTTTGTCGATCACAAATTTTGCTTAGCAAAATGTTACTCATTGCAGGCCAAAAGGGCTATGTAAAAAAAGAAAAAAATATATACATCTTTCTATTTTTCTATTCTTAAAGTTCCTTTTACTTTTACTACTTGAGGAGGTTGCACTGCTTTTTTTGAAAAAAATTACCGTGAATTATTTTTGCAGGAGGGCCACCACCCTCTCCTCCCATACCAACCACGTCAGGATGCGGTAAGCTCAACATTTGCGAGTATTAGGCTTTTTGGTGTAGCGGTTTTGACTTTTTTTTCAGATCGGTTTTTCGGTTTTTGTGCCAGAAAATGTTGGTTTTCGGTTCTGGTGTTCATTGCGTTTTGCGGATTTTCCGCTTTTTAGCGTTTAATTTTCGGTTTTCGTCAAAAAATACTAAAAGATTTTTGGATTTGGCATCCGATGTGGCTTTTGGTTTTTCTTTTTGGGTTCCGGTCTCATTTCGATCTGAGCAGCAAATGTGCGCCTCCTCCGATCTGAAATAGCCGCGAAACCTCCGTATGCTCCACTTGTCACCACTCCATCGTATCGATTAGGGTTTTGATAACTGGGATGTGAAAATTTATCGGTTTTGACGGTTTTGCATGCGGTTTTCTGTTGTGGTTGATTTTTTTCCTTTTTAATTTTTGTGGCATTTTCTAATAGACCCCAATACCCCCCTCCTTGATCGTGAATCAGTCAGGCTAGATCGATTGTCTAGACTACACTAAGCTACACTAGTTGAAGGTTATTTTGAGAAAAGTTATTTTATCTGACAAGGGACAAGGATTAGCCACATATTGAGGTGTATAGATATTTTACTTATGAAAAAGTCTGCATCTTCGTGCAAACTTTGCTCTGCATGTCTTCCCTTCTTTCACAATAATTTTTCTTTCGGTTCACTTTTTGACAGCAGATTTTCTACCTATGCATTAAAACACTCACACAAAAAAGGAATTGTTAAGAAATTGCAAATTTTCTGTTGCATCTTTTTCCAGGCGGTTCACCAACTCCTTCACTGGCCCCCGGTAAGTTGGACAACTAAAGAGTAAAAGCAGGCTAGGTTACAATGTTTCCGAAAAAGTTATTGATGTGCGCCAACCACCATAAAAATGACAAGACCAATGCTATCCTAAGTAAGCTTGGAAACCTAACCACTGGTGTGAAAAACCCTGCCCCCCTCTTTATTTGATAATCAGAAAAAGCCATCGTCAACTGGGTTTCGGTTATGGGGAACAGTTATGCTAAGATGTATGCTAAATGATTTTCTCAGCTCCCTGAAAGAATGTCGTATTCAGAAACGCAATAAATCAACCATAACGTGGTAAATATAATGTAGAAATACGTGCTCTCAGATGATAATAATAATTGTGAAATGTTCATAAATGTTCGTACATACACAATTCCAAGGGTATAGCGCACAGGTCTTGAGACTGAAAATATGAAAATCAAGGTTGAAAATTGTGTCTTCACGTTTACTAATTTTGTTTGTTTTTTTGTCGTTATTTCTTCAATTTTTTTTTTAAAATCACAAAAAACTGCAACTGAAAGCAAATAGTTTAAGTAACTCGAACAGACCATCCTCCTTCAGACGGTTTTGGAGGATAAAAAACTATAAACAAGACGACTCTTTTTTCGGATAGACGCCTAAATTTAAAGCTATATGTAGAAATGAAGAGAGCGACCATCTACTTGTATACAGTTTAGGAACATATGAATTTTATGAATTTAGTTGATTGTTTGAGTGGTTTGATAGAATGCTGGTAGTGTTTACTAGATCAAACTTATTTTCGACTACTACACAAAACAGTCCATCGCTGGAAATTCTGAGCAAAAACACATAAACATCAATGACAATATGATAAATACAATGCAAAAATACTCGAAACGAGTTCGGAGTTAATTTAGGAAAAAATCAAAGAAAAAAATGTTTCACAATTTAAGGGGGTCATGCTCTTTGACAATAGAAATATGAAATAGTTATCAGTCTTTGTGAAATCAAAATAATACTGAGTGAGCTCTTGAAAATCTAGGTTCGACATTGTGTTGTCGCATATATTACTTTATTTTTTTGCCTGTTTGTTTACTTTTTGTTAACATAACCAGAGTGTTCAAACTACCAAGTCCTGAGCGAAAATGACCGTAACACCGGCTACAAAGGAGCTGTCAAATGTGACCGGCCATTGCCAGGCGGAAAACGTTGGTACAGGTTTCAAGGAGGTGCAGGCACACAAATGCCAACAAAATGCGTACCTGCATATTATTGCGGTACCCATGCACCAGGCTGGCTGAGTGACGGACATCCCACAGTAGGCGAGGGAGCCGTCCAACGCAAAGTATGTTTCCATTGGACATCACGTTGCTGTCAGTGGTCTAGTAATATAAGGGTTCGTAACTGTGGTGGTTTCTTTGTGTACGAGTTGGTCGAACCACCGGGATGCAGCATGCGATACTGTGGAGAGAAAGTTCAAGGTAGGAGTGTTTTTGCGTAATTGTTGACAGCAATTTCTCTACAAATGGATTAAAAGAGAAATAAGTCTTGGAAACACAGCAAATATTGTGATGCATTTTTTTCCAGGTTCGCCGCCACCGCCGGTTACAACAGCGCCCCCAGTGGCTCTCGGTAAGTTGAACAACTAAATAGTAAAAGCAGACTGGATTACAATGTTTTCCAAAAAAGTTATTGATGTGCACCGGCCACCGTAAAAATGACAAGACCAATGTTATCCTAAGTAAGCTAAGTAAGCTCCTAAGTAATCGTCGACTGAGTTACGGTTATGAAGAACAGTTAATGCTAAGATTTATGCTGAATGATTTTCTCAACTTCCTGACAGAATGTCGTGTTTCAGTTTTTACACTATAGGGAAGCAATAGGACGAGAGCTTTAGTGAGAAATGTTTTCAACATATTTTGGTTTTTATTTCAAGACAAAAAAATTGCGATCAAAAGCAAATAGTTTAAGTGACTCGAACGAACCAACCTCCTGCAGACAGTTTGAGAGGAAAAAAACAATGAACAAGACGTCTCTTTTTTTGGATAGAACGCTGACATTGTAAACTCGATCAAGTTTATTTTCAACTTATGCGATTGACAAATCAACCGCAGATTTCCATTGTTACTTTTTTTTCCTCCGACATGGCGAAAATTGCTGAGCACTGTGTTACATGTTACGTCCTTTTTATCCTTTTTATCTTCGATAACCTTATTGACGATGGTTGTCGACCGATAGGCACGCTAAAATTTATGTAGGTATTTTGAAAAAGACTGTCTATCGCTGAAAAATCTCCGTGAAATACAAGCACAAACACAGTAAATCAGCGACAACGTGACACATATAATGTAAAAACACATGAACAAAGTTCGTGGGTAAGTCTTGAAAAAAAAATTAATGTTTCACAGTTGAAAGAGGGCGTGCTCTCAGACGATTAAAATTGTGAAATTATCATAATTATGTGTAAATACATAATTTTTTTTAGGGTCTAGGTCTTGAAGCATATATAAATCATGGAAATCGAGGTTCGAAAATGCGTAAGATTTATATAAAATGAATTTCGTCAAATAAAAGATGTCGTGTTTTGTGTTTTTTTTTAATCACAAATGGTAGGATGAGAGCCATATTGCGTTGTAGAATAAGACTTTTTCTCCAGCATATTTCGATGAAATCTTCAAGACAATGCACCACACTGAGAACACATACCCTGAAATTGAAAGCTAATTGTAGAAATGAAGAGAGCGACCATCTACTTGTATACAGTTTATGACCATATGAATTTTATGAATTTAGTTGATTGTTTGAGTGGTTTGATAGGGTGCTGGCAGTGTTTACTAGATCAAGCTTATTTTCAACTACTACACAAGACTGTCCATCGCTGGAAATTCTAAGCAAAAACACTTGAACATCACTGACAATATGATAAATACAATGCAAAAATACTCGAAACGAGTTCGGAGTTAATTTAGGAAAAATCAAAGAAAAGAATGTTTCACAATTTAAGGGGGTCATGCTCTCTGACCATAGAAATATGAAATAGTTATCAGTCTTTGTGAAATCAAAAAAATACCAGGGGTATAGTGAGCTCTTGAAAATCTTGTGTTGTCGCATATATTACTTTATTTTTTTGCCTGTTTGTTTGCTTTTTGTTAACATAACCAGAGTGTTCAAACTACCAAGTCCTGAGCGAAAATGACCGTAACACCGGCTACAAAGGAGCTGTCAAATGTGACCGGCCATTGCCAGGCGGAAAACGTTGGTACAGGTTTCAAGGAGGTGCAGGCACACAAATGCCAACAAAATGCGTACCTGCATATTATTGCGGTACCCATGCACCAGGCTGGCTGAGTGACGGACATCCCACAGTGGGCGAGGGAGCTGTTCAACGCAAAGTATGTTTCCATTGGACATCACGCTGCTGTCAGTGGTCCAGTAATATTAGGGTTCGTAACTGTGGTGGTTTCTTTGTGTACGAGTTGGTCGAACCACCGGGATGCAGCATGCGATACTGTGGAGAGAAAGTTCAAGGTAGGGGTGTTTTTGCGTAATTGTTGACAGCAATTTCTCTACAAATGGATTAAAAGAGAAATAAGTCTTGGAAACACAGCAAATATTGTGTTGCATTTTTTTTCCAGGTTCGCCACCACCGCCGGTTACAACAGCGCCCCCAGTGGCTCTCGGTAAGTTGAACAACTAAAGAGTAAAAGCAGACTGGATTACAATGTTTCCCAAAAAAGTTATTGATCTGCAACAGCCACCATAAAAATGACAAGACCAATGCTATCCTAAGTAAGCTAAGTAAGCTCCTAAGTAATCGTCGACTGAGTTACGGTTATGAAGAACAGTTAATGCTAAGATTTATGCTGAATGATTTTCTCAACTTCCTGACAGAATGTCGTGTTTCAGTTTTTACACTATAGGGAAGCAATAGGACGAGAGCTTTAGTAAGAAATGTTTTCAACATATTTTGGTTTTTATTTCAAGACAAAAAAACTGTGATCAAAAGCAAATAGTTTAAGTGACTCGAATGATCCAACCTCCCACAGACAGTTTGAGAGGAAAAAAAACAATGGACAAGACGTCTCTTTTTTTTGGATAGAACGCTGACTTTGTAAACTCGATCAAGTTTATTTTCAACTTATGCGATTGACAAATCAACCGCAGATTTCCATTGTTACTTTTTTTTCCTTCGACATGGCGAAGATTGCTGAGTGCTGTGTTACATGTTACGTCCTTTTTATCCTTTTTATCTTCGATAACCTTATTGACGATGGTTGTCGACCGATAGGCACACTAAAATTTATGTAGTTATTTTGAAAAAGACTGTCTATTGTGTTGTCGCATATATTACTTCATTTTCTTGCCTGTTTGTTTGCTTTTTGTTAACATAACCAGAGTGTTCAAACTACCAAGTCCTGAGCGAAAATGACCGTAACACAGGCTACAAAGGAGCTATCAAATGTGACCGGCCGTTGCCAGCCGGAAAACGCTGGTACAGGTTTCAAGGAGGTGCAGGCACACAAATGCCAACAAAGTGTGTGCCTAGATATTATTGCGGTACCCATGCACCGGGCTGGCTGAGTGACGCACATCCTACAGTGGGCGAGGGAGCCGTCCAACGCAAAGTATGTTTCCATTGGACATCAGGCTGCTGTCAATGGTCCAGTAATATTAACGTTCGTAACTGTGGTGGTTTCTTTGTGTACGAGTTGGTTGAACCACCAGGATGCAGCATGCGATACTGTGGAGAGACAT